TGGGTCTAGGATCTACTCACTCGACCGATCTAAGAAGGCCAACATGTAGAGGAAGGCCATGAACACAACTAGCCCCCGATCCAGCTTCTTCAGGACTGTACGGTCCTCATCCGGGGTATAGAGTTCATAACTTTGAACTGAATCGAGCGAAGGGCGACGCTCACTAGGTAGCAGGCCCTCGTCTTCTTCACCTTCCAGGTCTTCTTTCGAAACTGGCTCCTGGTGTGGGGAGACTGTTTGTAACTCGAATGAGTTTGGCTCATGCATCATAGATGGGCCATCGGAGGATTTAGAGGACCGAGACGAAGGTGTATCGTGGGGCGAACTGTCACTAGTGGTTGGAGATGGTTGTTTAGGTCGCTGACGGGACGAAGAGGAGGACATTCTTGGCTTTGTTTGTGGTAGTAAGAGGGGTGTAGAGGCCAAAGAAAGGATCACATTGAATAGGGAACGTGGCTTGCGGCTTGCATAAGCCGACAGTTCCGAAATCTTATTATCGCACGGATTTTGTAGATGCCAAAAGTGTCATCGAAATGACCGCAACCCTTGTCCTTGTGTTCTAGTGATGACGCTGCGGGGCCTGTGCGGTTACCCCACCGTGCAGGGTCACTTTCCCTGATCGACATTCGCGTCGCGCATTTCTTCAATACGCGTAAAGTTATGAAATTCCATTCAGCATCGTCTTCTCATGCTTCGTTTATAGATTTAATGCCAGACACTCCAATTATCGCTTCCAAGGTTGCGTTTCAGGAAATACTTGATGCCTCTCCATTATCTCTTGCCTGAATTGCCTAGTTATCGTTACCGAGGAGAATACTGTGTACATTTGAGCATGTATCAACAGCATAACACTTCCTTCGCCCCCTAGAATCAGAGATGAGCTCTAATAAGCACGCGCGATTCTATCAAGACTTGAAAGTACCAATAGGCATCGAAACTTTCAAGCTTCTACGAATGTTTTTAGATTGCCACTGTGCACAATCGTCGTTCAAACGACAAAGAAACAATTATCCAGCTAGTATAATGCAAATCAGGTATGGCGAGAAAGAAGGAGATAATCATATTCAAAAGTCTGGAGTAACGCCGGTCCCTTTTGGTCTGCGTAAGTACGTCTATTTTGGCAGTTGCCAGTCCTTGTAGCTCCACTTCTCGGATACCGTATACTTCTTCTGCTTTGCGTACGGAATTTGTCTTCTGGCTTCGACTTTGCCCTGCAGCAGCATTGTCCTGAAACGGTCCTTGAGAAGATTTCCCTCTGGCTTGAGAAGACGTAGCGAATCTCTCAACTCGTCTGGAAGCACAACTTCGAGTGGAGCTTCTGGCAATCTAGATAAAGTTAGCAAATAGCACGGTTCAGAAGCGAGGAGGGGATCTTACGGAGCCTTGCCAAACTGCTTTTTCCTGAGCTCGATCTCCTCACCATCATCTTCTACTGCTTCGGCATTCTGCTTCTCAAGAGCCTGGCGTACAGCAGCTCTTGCCTTCTCCTTTTCTTCAACACTCTTCGCTAGCCTCTTGACTTCTTGAAGTTGCTGTTCTTTTGCCTTCATTTTGGCCTCGTGCTTGGCCTTCCTTTCAGCTTCTTTCCTCTTCTTGATCTTGTTCCTCTGGGATATAGTTTTCCTCTCTGGCCTCTTCTTCTTTACCTCCTTGTTCTCATTGTCACTGAAGCCTTCCCACTCACTTTCCCAAACGCTCTCTTCGCCAGAGTCTGATTCCGTCTCAGCAGCCGCCCGTTCCATACGCTCAGCTTCTTCGCGGGCCTCTTCTAAACGCTTCTTCTCGGCCTCAACAACCTTGTCAGACTCGCGCATAAGCTCATTCTGCCAGTCTTCGAGTAGAGGGTTATATGACTTTCCGCCAGTCGGCTTACGGACTGCTGGGATGGGCTTGCCGGTCCTTGCTTGGGAGACAGGTGCGTGCTTGAGAGTCTTTGGCTCCACTTTTGGCTTCTTCTTTTCCAGGTATTCAAATCTAGGATCTTCCTTAACTTCCTGTACCGCCCATGGGTCATATACAGCGTCACTGGTTTGCACTACATCCTTCTTGACCTGTTCGCCGCCATAGGCAATTGCTCTTAATCTGTCGTATTCCTTGCTTGAGACCTTGGTCTTCTTTCTCTTGCCATCATCGGCAATGTCCGAGAGACGCTTCCTGGTCGAGACAGCGGGAACTGCAGAGCGTTGGGCGAGGATCTCGTCGACCTTGAGGGGCTTGTGGCGCTTTGCGATAGACTTCTTGATCTCAGCAGATCCAAGGGTATCGACTGCGAAGAGTTCGTCGGCAGGCTTTTCCGCAATAACACCACTGCTATCTGTCAGCACAATGCAACAGCTGTGGCCAGCGCGAGACATACCCTTGGATTATCTGCTCTCGTACTTCTTCAAGGCCAGACTGGATTTGCGTGACATCGACATTTTTGCGCCAAGCCTTCTTACCCTTGCGACTAGGCTGCTTGTGCTGCGCTGGTGCGGCTCCTGAGTCTGCCATTGTGTCTTTCGCGTAGTTTTGCGGGCAAGTCGTGGGGTTGTTAGTTGTCGCAAAAAGTTCGAGCCAAAATTCCGACCAACGCACGCACGGACATTCTGGCAAGACCCACCCGGCCCCCCTGCACCTCTCGGTAGTCGGTGTTGGCCAGAGTACAGGGTGCAAGGCCTCCAGTTGGACCAGCACTCCTTTCCGGACACCGCACTTCGCCAAGATACACAACTCGGAGCCCTGATTGCTGTGTACACGCCTAGTCCTTCGCTTTTGTCTTCTTCTCTGGTCTCTCTCCCATATCCTTCGTCATGGCGCAAGCGGGGTATTCGAATCCGCTGAAGAAGTTCAAGTGAGGTGTCCTCCGCAACGCACATGTACCTCGTATACTGATTGCCTGTAGGCTTGTGTTCTTGGGTGAACAGAGCGGTATGCATGCTTCATACTCATACAAAGAAACATCCATGTATGCTGACCACATGTCTAGTCGGCAAGACATCTTTGATTACCCGGTTCATGTACGACTCATTCGACAATACCTACCAAGCGACCATTGGCATCGACTTTCTAAGCAAGGTGCGCTTCCCACCCCACGGCAGCAAGGCGTGCTCTCTAGAAAATTCCTGACTGGAGCCCCAGACCATGTACCTTGAAGATCGAACAGTCCGCCTACAGCTGTGGGACACTGCTGGCCAAGAACGATTCCGCTCGCTGATTCCCTCGTACATCCGCGACTCTAGCGTAGCCGTAGTTGTGTACGACATCACAAACAAGAAGACGTTTGAAAACACAAGGAAGTGGGTAGACGACGTACGAGGTGAGCGAGGCAACGATGTCATTATTGTGCTTGTAGGAAACAAGACGGATTTGAACGACAAGCGCGAGGTCACCACAGCCCAGGGCGAGGAGGAGGCCAAAAAGAACAACCTGATGTTTATCGAGACTAGCGCAAAGGTCGGGCACAATGTCAAGGCATTGTTCAAGAGAATCGCGCAGGCGTTACCGGGCATGGAGGGCGAGGGCCAACAAGGGCAGAGTCAGAGTATGTTGCAAAGTCGGCACGTGAACAAGTGCCATGCTAATCCGCTTGGCAGTGATCGATGTGAACATCAACCCCAGCCAGCCCGCACAGGAAAACTCATGCTCATGTTAGAAATGTCACGACTCATTCACCAATCGACCTTGGTTCATTCGCTTTTTTTGTCTTGTTCTCATTATCTGGGGGTCTCTTGCGAGTCTGCGCAAGTCATTATCAGCAAGGCGTTTGGACATGGGCTGCATGCATCTTTAACGTCGGAAACGTGTATTCTGTAATATACCAGGGCGTATCCGTGCGTGCCATGGCATGACGTCAATGGAGCGACGCCCGGCGCTGTGGGATTATGTATAAGCACTCGAAGCCCGCCCATGCCAACCAATTGTGCCATCCAGGTGCATCGTGCTGAACCGGAACGCCAACCGTGAGATGGACCACATGGCGCCATTACATATACAAGAATATTACATGGGGTCGTGATCAGATGGAGAGGGGTTCCGTGAAAGCTTGCTGAATTTTGATCAAAGTACTATTGTCGAAAGCGACGTTTTACTCGAGATCGCCTGCTGAGCCCGCCTCAGACGGTGTCTTGCTGCCGCCGACCGGGATTGAAGTGTCCACGGCGATCATCTCGGCTAGGATGTCTAGAACGGGCTGTGTAGTGTTAGCAAAAATCGGAGTGCACAAGGTGGCAAAAAGGAATCTACCTTGGGGACAGTCTTGTCGTAAATGTTGATCAGTTCCCTGGGGTTGGGGTAGACCTTCAATGCGCGATAGAAGCACAGCGCAGCCTCCACGTTATCCGCACCTGCCATACAATTAGCACCACACCCCGCCAAGACCACGACCGTGACCACCAATGATTGCATACCCTTTTGCACCATTCCCTCTCCCTGGGCAACCTCTTGCATAAAGTATGCCTCGACCTCCTCGGGGTCCTTGGGGAAGCCCTCATCGTTTGCGCGCTCGACCGCCTCCCGGATGGCCTTCTTCTGCTCGGCACCTTGTGCTTCGGCCTCCTCCTTGGCCTGGCGCTCTGTCCGCTTCGACTCCTTCTTGAGCTGCTTGCGGAAATTGGGGTCGTTTCGTCGCTTGTAGTCGAAGTAGGCGGCATATGCGAGGAGGCCTGTGATGATGGTGCCGGCGCTAATAGCCGCAATGGTGGAAGGTTTTAATGACGAGTTGGACATGATGGGGGCCGAATGCGTGGGATTGAAGAGCGCTTGGTGGCGGAGAAGGCTCGGCGGTACACCTTGGAAATGGAGGAGGGATGACGGTGGTGCGTGAGTGTGTGGTGTTCAACTTTTTCTCCAAGTTCAGGGAAGGCACGATCCGACATGGTGGAGGGTCCGAGCTCACACGCTCGCCGCGGCCCCATGCACGGCATGCATGATGCACTTGCGCTTACCTGTCACGACCACCTCGACCAATCCCTCTACTACTACTACTTCTGCTGCTACCACTGCTATCATCCCCCCAAGGCAGCATGTCGGAAAAGCAAAAGGGCATCTCCCTCCGCAAGAAGCGGGGGGACAAGAGCAAAAAGGCCCCGCCCGTTATCAGCGCGCCGCGTCAGATTAGCGCGCCTATGCCCGTGGCCGTCGCTCCATCTTCACTGCCAGGCTCCGGACGCCCTTCAAACGAATCCAGCAGATCTAGGACGAGACAAGATGCTCCGCCTCCGCAAGCAAACCCTCAGCGGCCAGATAAGACGGCCGCTTTGGTCAAGAGGAGGTACTCGCAAAAGGTCACGACGAACCCTCCTGACTTCAGGGACAGAGCGCCTATGCCGCAGATGCCTGTACAGTACCGGCAGGACAGGGAGCCGAGCCAGACGAGAGAGCCCAGGCAGCAAGGCATGTCGAATGCGCCCAATGGGTCCAATGGGCGGGCGTTGCAGGTCGACCCCCGCGCACTCAGAGACCCCAACTTGAAAGTAGAACAATGTGAGACGCACATGTTGAGGGAATGCATACAATAAAGTGCTGACCGCATTCAGATGTATCCACCATCCTCGCAGATGCCTCCGAAGCCGACATAAACCGCTACCAAGACGAACTGCGCAAGACCAAGCACCGCACTTCCCTCGATCTTCAGCACAACGTATACCAAAACCGCACACAATTTATCAAGATCAGTAAAGAAGCGGAGAAGCTCAAGGGTGAAATGCGAACTTTGCGCCAGTTAATGTCCGACTTGACCACCACACTTGAGCAGACAGCATCGGCCACTGGCGCAAACAACGATGCTGCAAGCAACAGGAGAGCCAATAGAAGCTCGATTGGCGACCTCAATCAGCTGCGAGCAGGTCAACTACAACAGTTGTACAGGGATGTCGAGGGCTCGCAGAAGTACCTACCTCCCATTCCTGGACGATACATAGTGTGGAAGTCAGGGAAATGGTTCGAACTAGACTCTGCAACTTTGAAAGCAAGAAGACGAGTCAGGTTACTCCTCCTGAACGATCACCTTCTGATTGCGACAGAAAAGAAGGCCCGCAACGATATTCCCGGGCAGCGTGAGGGCAACCGAACGAACATGGAATTTACCGCGCAGCGATGTTTTCCGTTACTAGACACTCACGTCACAAGGACGCCAGAAGAGCGCATCATTATCCGTGCGGGCGCGGAAACATTTACCTATGACACCAAGAAAGAAGATAGCGGTGACAAGTCTGCTTTCGTTGCAACCTTCCGCAAAACTAAAGATGACTTGCGCAAGAGTCAAGAAGCTGATGTACAAGAAAAGGACCGGACTCAGGACTCGTACAGCCACTTGCTTTCTCGTGACCCTGCGCTCATGAACAGGACAGAGCTTCTCGACAATCTTTCCGATGGTATCAACAACGAGCAAGCTAACACATTCATGGACGTAGATGGCCAGAAGCGAAATGTCCGTTGGGTGGAAAGCCAATTGGACGACTTGGACATTGAGATTGCGCTGCAGCATTTCGAGGAAGCAGTGGTAAAAGTTGATCGACTCAAGTCACTTGCGAGGAACATCCGTGGCAACGAAATGGCAAAAGCTATTGTAACATACAAGGTCAACGAGCGCGCCGCTAAATTAGCAAACGTACTGGTCAAACACATGGTAGAACACAACAACTGGTTCTCCTCTGTCCGGCAGCACGTCAGCTGGGTCGTCCAACTAGGTTTCGAAGACAGAGCGCGCGAAGATTATCTCGAGGCTCGTGGTAACCTCATCAAAACTCGCTCACGGTTCGTTCACTCCGTCTTTTTTCCTTTCCTTTCCTTTCGTAATCTGACGGCTAATACTTGTTCACAGTCAATGCGTTTTCGAAGGCAATCTACCAGACTACATTTTCCAAATTTCATACATCTACTTCACCATCATTAAAAACACAGTCGACATGTTCCAGCGCTGTTTCCCCCAGCAACTCATGTCTGCCTGTGTGAAATGGGCCAAAGAACATATTGACCAGTTCAACGTGCTACTCAAACGGCAGCTGAGCAGTGTGGAGGAGGGAGGAAACGTGTGGAACGAGTGTCTGAGGTTGGCGCATGAACATGCGGAAATGCTGAGGGATGTTGGGTTGGATTTTACGGAGTTAGTCGGGAGGGGTGTCGGGGAAGAGGAGGGGGAGGATGCCAAGACACCGGTGGGGTTGGGTGTGTCGTAGATGTATCGGGAATCGTGTAAATAGCGTAATGTGACATATGAGATGTATCGCATCTTGTGAACTCGGCCTTGATATGGTTGTAATCACTTCCGAGGTAAGATGTGACAATAGAGGGACCGTTTGAACTTGAACACGAACAGTGGATAGCTACATGTATCATGTCATCTGTTGTCAGCGATAATTGCTGAATTGGAGGTAGTAGGAATGTCTGAACCGAACTTTCTCATAGTTCAACGCACATACACACATGAACGAATTGCTACACTATAGTAAGGCTCAGGTCACTGATAAACGTTTCTGTAAGTATCGAGGTTCAGGCTCAAGCGTGAAGTCTATGAATTGGGCGAAGAGGGACCAGGATATGTCACTCCAATCATTTGGAAAGCCAGGATATCAAGTCGTGCTTGTGTGATGATTCTACACTACATGTAATAGAAAGAACGCCGTTGTTACGTTAGCTGAAATGAACATATAGTCGAACAATGTAGTTTGTTTTCCTATATCACTAACCCTCCAATACAGTTTGATCTATAAATCACCCAAGACGTAGTCTTTGAGTTCCAGTCTAGCCATGTCACAATGGCAGCCTACTGATAGTCTGCCGCTAGTCACAAACGCCTCTATCTTCGCTAACCTTCACTTTCACTTCAATGTTGTTCGACGTCACCTTGAGGAAAATTCTTAAAAGCCTGCAAAATACTGCGCTAATCGTAACTGCATGTCACGTGTAGTTACTAAGTTGTGAGAGTCTGCCTTCACTAGGGATGTAAGGACGGATGTGAGACTTCCCTTGCCGCTCACCTCACTTGCTCGAAGACTCTACCCTCAACTTTTATATAGCGAGCTACACACCTCAAGGCAAATACCAGCACAACAGGTCAACAAGGCCCGAAATGCCTTCCGATAGCGAAAACATCACCTATCTGTATCTGATCTTAACTCAGAATGGCTCTCCGAATGTAAGTTTTAACTTCTTCCCTGCAGGAGTAAGAAAACATCTATCACCAGTTGTACCTCAGGCACAAAGAATGTCGCTGACTTGCAACAGATCGACTGGGATGCTGTCAGCGCTGCCCTCGATCTCAACAAGGGCGCAGTGACAAAGCGCTGGTCCCGCCTCAAGTCAGCTATAGAGAAACAGCAAACGCCTAGCAGCTCTTCATATCCCTTCCTCTGGCTCTGCGTTAAGCACAGCACCCGCACGAATGTATGTTATGTATCTTCCCTACACATCTCGTCAGCACCACAAGAAAAAGAAAATCACTCACAACAATATAGCCTATCAACTGGGATGCCATCGCTAGAGCCTGCAACACTACAACTGGCGCAGCATCCAAGCGCTATTCTCGTATGAAGCTGGCGTTTGAGAAGGGCGACACTGCACCGAGTTCTCCCGCTAAGACTACTCCTGCTAAGGCCAAGGCTGCTCGCAAGCCCGTTATCAAGGACGAATCTGAGGTTTCCGAGAGCTTCAATACATCGCCCAACGCAAAGCGCAAGCGTTCAGCCCTCAAGACCACCGATGTTCTTGAGAACGAAGATGAAGAGTCAGATGTCAAACCAAAGCGTGTCAAGCGCAACGTGACTAAGAAAGCGGCCGTCAAGGAAGAGGAAGAGGAAAGTGATGTGTTCTTCGATGCTCACGAAGCCACCGGAGCAATCACTGAAGCAGCGGATGTCAAGTCGGAAGATCATGACTTGCTTCCTGTGGATGACTTGTGCGCTTGAATAAGGCTGACTGTAGGGAAAGAGACTTGGGTAACATGAATGAAATCTGGGAAGAGTAAGAGGTTTCTAGGGTATGATGAATGGCATCAAGGTTTCTTGTAGTCAAATGAAGGCTTGACTTTGTATGGGAGATTGGTATTCAAAGTACTCTGAGTACGTAACTATCTCGGTCTTCCCCCCCAAAATAAATTCATGATTTCGCATTTTCACTGTCCATGAATCTATGGTGTCAGAACCAACTTTCCAGTAGTCTTACGGCCCTCAATATCTTGAGTTGCCCTTACGATATCCTTCAAAGGATAAACATCGTGAATCTTGACCTTCAACCCGTCCTTCTCAATAAACTTCCACAGCTCATTCGATGCTTCTAGAACTTCCTCGCGCGTAGCGAGGTAGTTGAAGAGTGTAGGTCGGACGAGCTTGATGTTCTTTGCTGCAAGACGACTAAAATTTGCATTAGTCACTGTTTCCACGAAAAGGGTGACAAGGGCAAACTTGCCCAAGAGAAAAACCCTCCACAGGCCCAGATGCGTTACCAAATGAACACATAGTACCCTTTCTTCTCACCACAGCAAGCGAGCTGTCAAAAGTAGCCTTGCCGACTGAGTCGAAGACAGCATGTACACCCTCACCTCCCGTGATCTCCAGGACCTTCTTTACGAAAATATCTCTGTCGTCTTCATAGTACTCAAGCAACACCTCAGCACCGTTCTCCTTGGCCAGATTCCTCTTCTCCTCCGTGCTGGCTGTCGCAATAACCCTTGCGCCAATCGCCTTGAGCAACTGACACAACCATAATCCGACACCACCGGCCGCAGCCGTAACAAGGATCCAGTCGCCCTTTTGCACAGCGTACGCGTCGCGGATAAGAGTTATAGCAGTTAGCGCCTGGAGCAAGGAAGCAGCAGCCGTCTTGGTGGGAATAGAGTCTGGCAAAGGAACCGTGGTTTTCGCTGGTGCGGCAACGTATTCTGCATAGGCTGATTGGCCCATATAGGCTACTCGCGCACCCACTTTGAGGTCGGCGGGTGCATTGGGGCCGGTTGCAGCGACGGTGCCAGCGCCTTCGCGCCCAAGAATGTAGGGGAAGTGGGGCGGTTTGTAGACACCTGAGCGGAAGTATCTAGACACGATATGAGCGGCACTGTTGCGGATGTAGAAGATACAATGATAAACTCACGTATCGATGTAGTTAATGCCAATGAACTCGTTCTTAACCAGTACCTCTCCCTCCTTGGGCTCAGGGACCGGCACATCGTTATACTGCAACACATCTGTTCCGCCTACCTTCTCGATATACACCGCCTTCATCGTCTTAGGTATGGACGCCATGGTTCTGAAACCGATCACTCCTGGGCTTACGTGCGCACTGATAGCTGCGAGTCTCGTCGCTGGAGATGTCTGTCTGAAAAGCAATTGGGCAGGGCGTACAGCTTGTAGCGCGAAGATCATAAATCGGAACTGTAGAATTGACGAAGTTCCCGGAATGCTTGTTTTTGTCTTGGGAGGATAAACGTTGGGGGATAAATACATACACGGCGGCTGTGCTGCTTGCCCCGCCCCCCACACTCTCCCCGCTCCCTGCAACTATCACGTCATGTCACAATACGACTATCTTATTCAGCAAAATTTGTTGGATTAGGGAATCGATATGACTGGTATACGAATGGGGTCTAGTATGGTGAATTATCAATTGACGTGTAGTCCTTGTCAGTGGTGCATGTCGCTTGAAGGGCGTATGGAGTTGCCTCGGTCGAAGCGGAAAATGGCGGCCCATCCTAAGCAGTGCAAAACCACTAAGTAAGAGCATGGCCAATTCAGTACTCGCTCACTTCTCCGCCTGCTGCAGATCTTATAAATGTGAGTTAGTATTTCAAAAATCTAACATCTATGAAAGGAAGAAATGCACATTGGATAGCATGGATTTAATTAAGAAACAAGCACGATGTGATAGCAATCTTTCACGCTCTTCATAATGGCTAGTTTTGGTGGGAGATGCCCGGTTGTTTTGGCTTCCTGGTTCTATCAGATATAAGCATGAGAGGGGGGACCCACGCCGATTTCGCTCGTGGAGTACAAGTGCGTCGTGTAAGCAAACAACGTCACAGACTGTCTTTAAGCTCGGTTCGCAAAAGAAACAACGTTCCCGTGTACCAGAGACATCACCTGAACTGGGTTATCCTGGTTGAAGATGGTGCTTGTTGTTGTTTTTTGTCTCATCGCCTTACGTTGCGCTCGCACAATTTTCGGGGTTTTCACTGCGATACTGTGATTTCTTTTTTAGCGATTTGGGTAAGATTGATGTTTATGGAATCAATGTTTTTGAATGAACATAGAGCCAAGTGTTGACCATGCTCCCGAGTTGTCATAGCGGTGTTGACCAAGAAACTCGTGCAAAAAGCCTCTACATCCACACAGACATGCGCGAGGTAGCCGAAGTGTTAGCATGAATCGTATCTGAGACATACATACATGAGCTTTCCTAGGCTACCTTTTGGAGGTTAAGCTTTTTTGTTTCTGAAAAAAAAGCACTTTGACCGAAGTACCTCCAAGTTCAGTGGTCTCAACCAGAATACCGTACGGTGTCATTGACGGATTGTGTTTTCTGGGAAACAATCCGTAAACTCAGGTGAGCTTCAGGTTGCGACATTTCCCTCCCATGTCTGTATATGCTTCTGTCTTCACCTCAACTATGGTTTCCGCGTTGCGCTCTGTCCTTGTGACGAACTTAGCTTCACAAGAGATCTTTCTAGTTTCAAATATGTATAGTTTTATTTTATATTGCCAAGAGTTTTACATAGGTGAGGCGCACGATGAGAGTAAATCTACTAGAACATACTTGTAACCAAAGCTTGTCTACACTTCTTACGTTCGGTACAGTTTCTAAATACGGAGAGACATTGCAAGTAGCAAACTTACATTGGATCATAACATTGTCTACAATGCTGCTTTGCAATACTTATAATCAAAAGGCTGGTCGTTTCACTTAACTCAGAATTCAAACACTGTGCTCCTTTTAACAATCAAGTAATACGGAGAGTCGACATCTATTGATTCTTACCATACTTGGTTCCTGCAATATTCATAACCAACTCGAAGTGCTCGCGCAAAGAGGTTACAAGGAGATTTCTATCCAAATTCATCGAAGTTTACAGACAAGATAAAAAGCTTTTAGCACAGGTGAGGCTTATGCTGCTTACAATTCGTTCAGACTGACATGTAATAGCAAGCCATAATACAGCTATGGTATACTTGCATTCCGATCTATTTGACGGCTCAAATGGCATTACTAACACAAAATCGTAGCCTCCAGTTTGCGTCCGGCGTATAGTTGACCGTTACGATGCACGCAATTTCCAGTCAGAAGAAATCAGGAATATGGGAATAAGAGTCTGGAGACACAAGACAACAGCTGAATGGGAAGTGCTTGTTGCTGCACTCCATAGAAAGATAGGACAGCTCCAAACAGAGATCAAAGAGCTCCAGACAGGAATAGAAGATCGCCAGATGGAGCTAAGAGAGGCTAGGAACGAGGCTGCCAAATGGAAGGCAATGTACGAGAAGAAGAACAAGGCTATGGAGAACGCATATTTGAATTGTTATCACTACGACAGCAAGTGAACTGTGGAATCCCATAGCCAATTCCTAGATAAAGAATAGAGTAGGGTACGCCGAGACATCACAAAATTCTTACGTAGATACGTGCTCGCTTGTGTCACCAACCCATCAACCCGCGTGTCAAGAACCAAGGCTTACCAGCCCCCACTACGTCATCGCCTCACACATGCAAATTGGGCAAAACAACATATCCTAATTGCACATTCTCCACTCTCCACATTAAACACACAAGTACATTCTTGCAACCGTATTCTTTAAAAAATCTGCTGTCACCAAAAACATTGCTTGCACTCCACCTTTCGAGATGGGCGCATTCCTATCTTCTATCCTAGCGCCCATCGCCCTTCCACTGGGCTCCTTCCTCGCCATACCCATGTTCAGCTCGTGGTCTACGGGTCTAAACCTCATATTTCTCTCCGTCGCATGGACAACAATCGCCGCATCTTACTCGCCTCTGCAGCTGGAACTCGTTGCTCCCTTCGTCCTGCGACTATCACTGTACATCATACCCAGCCTTATCTTTCTTATCTTTGACATTGGTGTACCTAGTCTTGCAGTTGAGTTCAAGAGCCAAGGGAAATGGGGCATTCCGAGTAACCAAAGGGGTGGTGCAAGGGCTGTGAGAAGGGTAGTAGCGTGGAGTTGTGCCAATGTACTGCTTACGGTTGCGCTACAAGCGGGTGTTGAGTTTATTGTGACAGACGTGTTGCAAATGAGGAGTCTACTACGCATCAAGGGCAGTAGATGGGGACTGAATCATTTGCCGAATCCTTGGACAATGGTAAAGCACGGCAGCATTGCTTTTGTGTCGCGAAATGTAAGTTGGCTTTTCCGTGTTCTGCAAGTCACCCTATACTAACAGTCAAATTAGATCCTCCAATACTACACCCACACTCACCTCCTACACTCACCCACTGGTGGAGCCCTGTCAACACTCCACCAAAACTGGCACCACAGTATCCGGATTCCTTACTCTTTCGTGGCAAACTACGACCATCCCATCTGCCATCTCTTGCACCGTTTTCTTCCTTTGTATCTCCCTGCAATCGCATTGCGGATGCACATATTGACTTATCTCATCATGATTGGACTCTTCAGTCTTGAAGAGACATTTGTGTACTCTGGCTATAATGTCTTACCATCAACCATCATGTTAAGGGGAATGGCACGCCGTGCCGATGCGCACATGATGAGTGAGGGGGAAGGAAATTACGGATGCTTAGGTGTGTTAGACTGGTGTCATGGAACAACGTTGGGCAAGGATGTAGTGGAAGACCTCAAAGCAGAAATGGAAAAGCACAACGTAGAAGCCAAGGCAGGAAAGGCTGTGGACGAAGCAGGGAATGCAGCAAACGGGCTTGCCAGTAGATTTGGAAGATCCAAAAAAGGTAAAGGAAGAAAGTGAATTGCACATTAACACAAGGTGGGACACGGAAAGGGGCAGTACAATTGGTGCAATCGGTCCTTGGGGCATGGGTTCAGGTCGGTTGTGGTCGCTTCTGATACCTTTACGTCATAATCGGATGGGAGCTCTGGTAGCAGTCGGCGCAGTCATCGGTCGAACAATGTCAATGTGTCTGTAACTCTATTTCATGCATCAGTACTCGATTACCGCCCTGTATGTACCGCGCCCATTGAACGCCCAACTATGACATCACGCAAGCGGAGACCAAATGTTCACTTCTGGACCGTCTCAGATTCGCTTGCTCGTTATAAAGTCTTATGGTAAATGCCTTGGCGGTATCCTCCATGAAAAAAATTGGCTGCCCTGCCGCTGCGGTTCTTGATCCTCGCTAGTACGGCTGCAGTATGCCGAAGTCATCTTTCATCCCATGCACTGAACGCCGAATGCCCGATCGTTATCCGTCGCTTAGAAGACCATCGCGTGAGGCCTGTCTGAGCTGCGGAGGCTGAAGCTGGCACCGAGGTAGTCCGCGAGGTGGGCTTCCTTCTTGATGGTGGCCAGGAGGGCCTTGTCGATGGCCTTCTGGTCCTCGACACGGTCCTTGGAGGTCTCCTTCTTCTGTTGCGATTGTTAGTATCGCCGCATTAGAGCGCTCGTCGTAGTTACACACCTCGGGCTTCTCGCCCTGCTTGAAGAAAGCGTCCTCGCCAGGCTTGTGGGGGGCCTTGTCCTTGGTGAAGTAGCCGTCTTGGCTGGCCTTCTCGATGACCTTCTCGTCTACGCCTGCAAGGTCGACCTTGGTGGAGGTGGCGATGACATAGCGGGCGTTTACTCGGCGGAGGGGAACACCGTTAACTTTGAAGGGACCGGTAACAAGGAGAACACCCTGGGCAAGGTGCTTGAGGACAACGACGCGCTTGCCGCGGAAGCGACCAGCAAGGAGGATGACGACGGTACCGGGCTGGAGAGACTGGCGAACCTTTGCAGGGCGGACAGTCTTGCGGGCCTTTGGTCGCAGTTAGCGGAGCTCCAGAATATGCTCTATTCTCCCAAGTTCCACAATGGCGCACCCACTGCACGCAGGCACATTGATTTGCTTCCCGTCTCTTTGCAATTCTCCGCTTTGCCTTGACGCTCCCGGTTCTATCGCGAACGTACCTTCTTGGGGACGGCAACGTCCTCAGCAGGGTAGTACTTGCTGGCCTTCTGGCTGTGGTGCGGTATCGACCTCTCCCCCTTGGAGAACTTCTTGGTGGTGGGCTTCGTGTCCTCTTGTGTGGCCGCCATTTCGTTTCGCTGTGGTCGTTAGTGCTGGTCGGTGGTGATGGCGATGGTCGGAATTTCGTGAAATCCTCCAGTGTGTGCCAAGCTGTCCAATCGATACGCGTGACCGGGCCGAGCATTGTTCCGGGGCGCTCGGAGCTTCCCGCCGCGTCGCCGCCAGCTCCACCGAAGACGCCTAGGAAGCTCGAACATCATTGTCCCTAGCATCACAAACACCACCCCAAACATGTCCATTCAGCCACTGATCACCTTCAAGGCCGGCCAGTGCGAGCTCACGGTAAGCTGGATGGAATTTTGTCAATCACATTACCTGTACTAATCGCACATTCAGCGCCGAGATGGCAACCAGCAGACGGTCAAGCCAATCCCGACACCTGGTTACGTCTACCTTTACCAGGGAGAAGATGGTTTGTGTGCTGCGACATAGCCCTGTGCATCAAACTGACAGTGCCAGAATTCGTGCACTTTTGCTGGCGACCCCGCGACAGGCCCCTCGACCAGTCCGAGCTTGACCTCATCATGATTCCCGGCGACGGCTCCTTCCTCCCATACACCGGCAAAGAGTCAGCAGAGGACTCGGACAATCTCCGATCACCTACCGATGGCCGCATCTATGTCCTCAAGTTCTCGTCGAGTTCACAGCGCTACCTCTTCTGGTTACAATCCAAGTCGGAACACCCACGTGGAGCCGCATGGTTCAGCGAGCGTGATCAAAAGATTGGTCAGATCGTTGATCTGCTGCTGACTGGCGAGGAAATTGATGTACAGGCTGAGCTCGCCGGTCTCTCTGACGCACACGGCGGTAACGACGAAGACGAGACGATGGAAGACGTAGACCATTCATCTAGCCGAAACCGCCACGGTAGCACCGGAGGTGCTGGAGCGGATGCTACAGGTGGAGATATCCGAGAGGAGGGCGAAGAGTCCCGTGAAGGAGGTGCTGACGGTGGCAGAGCGTAGGTTCCGTCTACTTGTAATTATATGCGGCGTCGTGGCGTAGTGGAATCACTGAAAGCAACCGAAACTACTGTGGAAGACCATACCAGAGTCCCAATGTAGAAAAGAAAAACTCACAGGGACATTCTTTCACGATACGGCGTTTGGGAAGAAGCATAAGCCCAACCAAGAACATGGGATATTGGCACTGGCTGCTCATGTACAACAATAGAAAAATAAGCATCATGCTACGTCTTCCACCGGCCACGCCACGGCGCCCGTTCTATTTCTCTCTCTTGAGCTTCAGCATCCTGACACTCCGAGCTAATATTTCGACAGAGCCGCGTCAGGCGATGTCTCAGCAATTGTCTCCAACTTTATGGACTCGCTTAAGGGTAGCAATATGGGCACCAGCAGTTCGCGCCAGCAAGGTTCCGGCGCGCCCTTCACCACGCTCCTCGACCTCCTCTGGCCCTCGCACACCGTCCCTACCGTCGCCAACGCATCCGATGACATCATCGACGCTCTTTGCGCCCAACTCCCCACCACGCCATTCCTCCTCGAAGCCGAGGTCGAAGACGTCGACCAAATCGACCCAAACTCCGAGACCGCCCAAATGGCCATTCAGACGTTGAGCCGCGAGGAGAAAATTGACGTCCTCACCAGGATTCTGCGTGCACCGCAATTAAGGGCTGCGCTAGGTAGTCTGACTGAGGCACTCAAGACGGGTGCGTTGCCGACGGTCAGTCAGGCCCTGAAAGTCGATGTTGAGAATGGGGGTTACATGAGGGGTGGTGCTATGCCGCTTGGTGGTGGAGATGCGGTCAAGGCATTTTTAGATGGTGTGAAGAAGACGGTGGAGAAGGAGAAGAAGGGGGGTGATGAGATGGATACGAGCTAGATGTCACCCCGTATAGATGTGGTGGTGGTAGAGAGTGCCCGATACGACGTCACGCTGTACGATGACTGCATATGACTTATGGTAGATATTAGAGGAAGACGAATGAGGTCGGCATGCCAGTCAGTGCTTAGGTAAAATACACAAGTATCTTGCTTCTTTTTAATGTCTGGTCTTGTCAGGATAGCTGGTTTACACTACTGGCCTAATTTATGATACTCTGACAAAGTCGCAGATCAGTACAAAAGAAAAAAATGGACACCCTTCAATTGCAACAAAAGGGTAACGGATTTTTTTGTGAAGAGGGCAGAGGAAAACATGGAATGATTCATGACACATGATGGATGACTCGATCGCGTGGGAAATACGAAAGGCGCTTAGGAGTCATCAACACAAAAGACGAACTAGGAAAATGCGAAAGATGTGGTGACAGTGACACCAGACATTCATGACAGGCTGTCAAGCACTCATTCACCAAAGTCTAGAAAACAAACATACGCAAGGAGATGGTTTGGACCAAGACATTGACATTTGACCATTATGCCTAGGATCATATCGAACATTGTAAACTTGAAGGGGGTTTGTCGTTACATTAGCCATTTTCGCTTGACTTTTTTTCCCTCTGTTTGCTAACTATATAGCGTACAGAGGGAAAAAAAAGTCAAGCGAAAATGGCTAGTGTAACGACAACCCCCTTCACCATGACGTAAACACCGTGCCATCAAACTCCATGCCACCAAATGCTCAAACAAACAGAAAAGGACGCCACAAACACTCGGACTAACATCGCTCCATTAGTAGCTTCGTCCGAACAAGATCCACTGCTTGGCTGGAGTCGTGCAGGTGGGGTTGATGCACTTGGTCTTGCCAGGCTCAATACCCTCAGGCTGGTCGAAAGGAATACACAAACTCTTTGCGCCCATGGCAGGGGCTTGCTTGTCCTCAGCGACACCATCACCCAACGCTGTTCTGGCGCTCTTGGCCTTGACCTCGTCCTCGCACTTATCGCCCTCGCAGTGAGGAACAAGAACAACGTTCTTGGCATTAAGAGTGGGAACGAAGTCGTCCCAGTTGGTGAGCTGCACGCGATGGCTGCGGAAAGTCTTGTCAGCCTTTTCGAACATATCGTTTTGAATCTGCTCGAGAAGCTTGGGAACTTCTTTTGTAAGGTCATCAACGTTGATAGTACCACGTGCAGCATCCTTGTCGTCAATGTCGCGGCGCGAGGTGGTGACAACGCCCTTCTCAGCATCCTTAGGGCCGAACTCGATTCGCAGAGGGATACCCTTGAGCTCCCAGTCGTTGAACTTCCAGCCAGGGGAGTAGCCTTCACGGTAGTCGGTCTCAACGCGAACGCCTGCTTCCTTCAAGTCGTCTGAAATCTTCTTGACCTTGCTGTAAAGGCTTTCCTTGTCTTCGGCGGACATCCTGCTAAGATTAGTTACATGTTCCTCAAGGACGCGCAGATAAAACTTACTTGGCTGTAACACCGACAGGAATGACGACAACCTGAATTTCAGCCACACGAGGAGGGATGACCAAACCCCGGTTATCACCGTGAGTCAGAATCATGACACCAATTGAGCGGGTAGTCAGACCCCATGAGTTTTGCCAGACGTGGACATGCTCTGACTTGCCAGACTCCTTCGCGTGAGGATCCTCGACTGTGATGTTGAACATCTTTGAGAAATGCTGTCCTAGGCAATGGGAAGTTGCAGCCTGAATACCACGGCCTGTTGCAGGAATGAAACCCTCGATAGTTGTGGTGTAGTCGGCTCCAGGGAACTTCTCGTTGACGGTCTTGGTTCCCTTGACGACGGGAACGGCGAGCAAGTTTTGGTAGACGTCAGAGTACCAGTCCAAAATTTGCAGAACCTCTGCGCTAGCCTCTTCTTTTGTAAGATGCGCAGTGTGACCCTCTTGCCAGAGGAACTCGCGCGATCGGATGAATGGCATAGGGTCTGGAGGCAGATTAGACAGAAATCAATGGTAGTATCTCCAGGGACATACGCTTGAACTCCCACCGAACAACGTTGTTCCATTGGTTAAGCTTTAGGGGCAGATCACGATGGGACTGGATCTTGCGAGCGAAGTAAGGGTACATGGCGGTCTCGGAGGTAGGGCGCACAGCGACAGGCTTCTCGAGGTCAGACTTGCCACCTTTTGTCACCCAGGCGACTTCGGCAGCAAAGCCCTCAACGTGTTCCTTCTCCCTCTCCAAGTTGTCTGCGCTGATGAAGATTGGGAAGTAGGCGTTCCTGACTTTGAGTGTCTTAATCTGTGCGTCGAACCAGGACTTGATGTTCTCCCAGATGGCATACGAGGATGGTTCGAGAATGTAGCATCCGGCAACATCGTAGTATGAGATCATCTGGCCCTTAGTAATGACCTGCTGGTACCATTCTCCAAGATCAACCTCTTTTGCGACATCGATACCAATGAGCGCTGATCCCTCAATCTGTTGTAGTGTCAACATGGCGAAAACCCCAAGCACAGCTCCAATCGGGGGAGCGGACCTTCTTCTTTTGTTGCTGAGGCTTCTTAGCAGCCTTTTGGGGGTTGCCGTCCTTCTTGCTCTTCTTGGTCTCAGAAATGGAAAGATCCTTCATCTGACCGTCGGCTGCCGTAGCTTCAGCCATATTGGGTCTGTTGTAGGCGGCGAGTGTTAGCGCAATTCAAGGCACAAACAACGAGGTAGCAGTCTCTATGATAGGTTTAAGCTTCTAGGAAAGGATTGTAGAGTAGTGGTTGCTCAGGTAGCCCGTATTTGGCAAGTGTAGGATGTGTTATAGGGGGTGTTGGCGGGGCAGGGCGGGGTATCTGACGCGACTTGAGAATGCTTACATGCAATTGAGGGACGAAGAGGATGTTTTGTAAGCGGATTAGACGTGTCAGAAGAGAGATGCGTCACAGCTACAGTCAAGGAGCTTGAGCAGGTGAAAAGGGCGGTCTTGGGCGCAGGCTCGTGTGAGGGCAGCGTCTAATGTGTGGAGGGGCCGAGTCATCGGCGCAAGGGTCCACTTTAGCGCGACTGGCACAGCAGCGGAGCTACAATTCGCCGACGCGGGCGGCGGGCGTGCTGGAGATTTTCTGGACCGCGTAGAGGCAGCAAACAACACAGCGACACAGCTTGGAATACGACGACATGGCAGGAATCTTCGAGCAGTCACGCAGCGGGGGCACTCTGTGTAAGCTTGGCCAGCTCTGGTCGTGGAGAACAGGAATATGGACTAACTGGCAAAACAGTCCTTGGAGGCCAGAAAATCAGCGGCCAGGACATTCGCGACCAGAACGTACTTGCAACAACAGCCATTGCCAATGTCGTCAAGTCGTCCTTTGGGCCTTCAGGTCTCGACAAGATGATGGTCGACGACATTGGCGATGTCACAGTCACCAACGACGGCGCCACCATTCTCAGTCTGCTCGACATCGAGCACCCCGCAGGCAAAATCCTCGTCGACCTCGCACAGCAGCAGGACAAGGAGGTTGGAGATGGTACAACTTCGGTCGTCATAATAGCAGCTGAGCTGCTACGGAGAGCCAACGAGCTTATGAAGAACAAGATTCACCCCACCACAATCATTACAGGCTACCGGCTGGCTCTGAGGGAGGCTGTCAAGTACATGAACGAGAACATTAGCACAAAGGTCGATGCTCTAGGCCGGGACTCGCTAATCAACATTGCAAAGACATCCATGTCCAGCAAGATCATCGGCTCCGACTCTGACTTCTTCGCCAACATGGTCGTAGACGCCATGACCGCTGTCAAGATGACAAACAATAAAAACGAGGTCAAATACCCGGTAAAGGCTGTCAACATCCTCAAGGCACACGGTCAAAGCGCCACCCAGTCGATACTCGTCAAGGGCTATGCCCTCAACTGCACAGTCGCCTCGCAAGCTATGAAGACACGCATCACCGATGCTAAGATTGCCTGTCTCGACATTAACCTGCAGAAGGAGCGAATGAAGCTTGGTGTACATATCACCATTGACGATCCGGAACAGCTGGAGAAGATCCGCGAGCGTGAGGCTGGCATTGTTACTGAGCGTATTGAAATGATCCTGAAGGCCGGTGCCAACGTCATCTTCACCACGAAGGGAATTGATGACCTCTGCCTAAAGCACTTTGTTGAGAAGGGCGCCATGGCGGTGCGAAGGTGTAAGAAGGAAGATCTACGAAGGATAGCAAAGGCCACCGGAGCTACCTTGGTCAGCACTCTCTCTGACTTGAACGGCGACGAGAAGTTTGAGGCAGCCAACTTGGGTTACGCAGAGGAGGTATCACAAGAGCGCATCTCAGACGACGAGTGCATCCTTGTCAAGGGCACCAAGGCTTTCTCTTCTGCATCCATCATCCTGCGAGGAGCAAACGACTATGCCCTCGATGAAATGGAGCGTTCGGTGCACGACTCATTATCTGCCGTCAAGCGCACGCTGGAGAGTGGACGTATTGTCCCAGGTGGTGGCGCCGTTGAGACTGCACTGCACATCTACCTGGAAGAATGGGCAACGTCAGTGGTATGTTGATTCTGACTTTCCTTTCCAGTATTCGGTCGCTAACCTATATATGCAGGGTTCTCGTGAGCAGCTTGCGATAGCCGCTTTTGCACAGTCTCTACTCGCCATCCCAAAGACTCTGGCAATCAATGCAGCCAAGGATGCCACTGAGCTAGTTGCTAACCTACGGTCGCGACATGCTCTTTCACAACGTACAGTGAATCCAGCCGACCCCTCATCGCAAGATGCCAAGCAGCTTGCAAAGTCCAAGAGCTACAAGAACTACGGTTTGGATCTTACCAATGGCAAGGTACACGACACGCTCAAGGCTGGTGTGCTGGAACCCAGCATGAGCAAAGTCAAGCAGTTGAAGTCGGCAGTGGAGGCGTGTGTTGCTATTATGCGAATCGATACCCTGATCAAGCTGGATCCGGAAGAGCAAGGTGGCGGTGACGATGGGCATGGACATTAAAATCGCGTAAAGTTTTTGCGGAAAAGAGATAGTCCAGAAAAGATCACGACAGCGTAATGAAAGGCTTCGACATGCCCACGTGCACAACCACGATGCTCGCTGCGCTGTGCATGCAAAATCAACCCTGACTAACTTGAAATATCTGACAGCTGCGGCTTAGGCGCAAGGCTCTTTGGGGCGGGACATGATACCATGATGAGGGGTTGGTCAACCCGTGTCGTCCCAAACGAGCCGTTGGCGTACCGGTGAGGCATGTACACTCCGAGTAGCGACCGAGGGTTGCCTGGCGGTCACTTCAAAGGGAAGTATTGGGGCTAGCGGCTGGTGCCGAGGCCTATCAGAATGCTGGCTACACGACACGGGCGGGTACCGCCTGGCTGTGCTGGCTCAGCTCGCTTACCCTTGAACGTCACTGCACCATGTTCGCTGTACAATCGCTGGCCTGTTGGGGAGCAAGAGAGAAACATCAACATGGAGGGAACCACAGACGGAAACATCAAGATTGAAAATTGAAGGCGTGCAACAGCGGGAGTGCTGTGAAAAAGTTGCGAAATGCAGGCCAGCACTGCTTCTGCAAGACTCATCTCCCTCTACAGGTCAAGTTCCTTGGCACGCTACCCCAGCTGAACAGCCTTCATTGTGCTCGTCCCAGATGTGTACTGACCTGCAAGCCCCAGCGGGTCTCTGCGTCGCTGCCCGCCTGACGGCGCTGGAATTAGCATCGCTTGTAGCCCAAACCATATGTAGGTACCTAGCTCAGTGAAATCTACATTTAGCCCATGGTTTCCCCCCTTTCTGTTACAATTCTTCCAATCCATACCAATGGCATCCGTTATGCTCGGACCTTTGCTGCTCGCCCTTCTACTTCAAGATGGTGCTGCTGCTATCATGGCCGCACCGCGGGCTGCAATTACCCCTGCACCAGTGCTGAAGAGGGACGTCACTACCATTGGATACATCTCTACACGAGAATATGATGGCACCACGTACTGTGAGTCGATATACTCAATCTACTCTGGTTGTTACTGACCTGTCAAAGGGGATACAATCACAGCCAATGAACAGGGCAATGCAATCGCGACATCCAGCAACCTGTTCCAGATCTGTGACCCAGCAAAGCCATGCACGTTCTTTTCCTGCTCAGGTGACTATGTTATCATGCCTTCTTCCTCAATCTTTTGGTATGTCGACTCCATGGACTATGGTTTGTCTTTACCTACAGTTGCTAACCCATGTCGCGCAGTGGAGGACCATCTAGCACATGCAGTTACTGGGAATTGGCCACGAATATCAACGACCAAAATCCACTGACTAACTACTGGTGTGATGCCAAGACAAGTGTTGGAGGCATCATCTACATGACAACGCCAGAAGCTGGTGAGCCAATTTCTCTGCAATGTCGCCAAATAACACTGCTGACATGACATTCTACAGGAGCAACAACAAGCGCAGGGGTCAAATCTACCACCACCAAGGCAGCCTCGGTAACCTTCACATCAGCTACTAATATCGCAACTGACGATGTGACATCCATTTCCACCTCAGGGCCAGGCTTGGGCGAAACCAACGATGGTGGTAGCTTGACTAAGAGCAAAAAGAAAGGCTCAACACCAATAGGACCCATAGTTGGTGGTGTCGTCGGCGGTGTCGCAGTTCTAGTCGCCATAATCATCGCCGTCTGGATTGTCCTCAAGCGCAAGAAGAAGAACAAGACCGACAACAACATCCCTCAAGCCGCACAAGGCCCTCCAGCTCCTCCTCCTGCAATGCAACAAAACCCCCAGCAGCCACCCGCAGGCGTCCAATACTACCACGAACAAAAGCCCGTTCCCCAACCACAGGTGCAGCAAGTACCTCCTCCCCAGCCATACGGTCACTACGACCCCAATGCCCAACCTGCCCCTGCACAGCCCTTCTACGACCCAAATGCTCAACCGGCATACGCGCAGCAGTCGCAAGCCGGATACGGCGCACCTTCCCCCGACAAGACCCCGGCACCCTTGGCTACCGGCCAGCAGACTCATTCATATTACGCAGATAACGCGCCGGTTAGTCCTGTGCCGCAGTATTCGCCTAGCCCATCACCTGCGATCCCAGCCAACGTGAGTGAGTTGTCGAGCGGAAGGATGTGAATGTATTGATGAATATGAGATGGGGTAAATAAAAATGAGTTTGTGTAATGGTTATATGTATCGAGTCTTGTTTAGCGTGGGTGGATGTGAAGGCAGTCTGTGAGCATGGATGCTGATAGCAATGATTCTGAATTAATGATACCCTTTAATGAACTAGACAAGCGTATGAGCAAGTATGCATGGATTCATGCTTTGATGGGACTGTTTACAATGTCTAGCGACTTTGTATGTACACACATACTTTTATCATTTTGCTCTAGTACATAGCACGCGCGATATTCAGAAAGTCTTCTACCACGTACCCTAGGTGCAATTACCATCTCAATTTCCGCAAAAAAAGGTATCTGTAGGCGACCTCGTCCCTAGTGATCAGGGGTCTGCGGCGCAGCACACTGTACATATCAGTGATGCATAACTGCGCCACATCGGTACTTGTGTAAATTTCATGAATGCCAGTAAGGAAGCGGTTATTGGACAGTAATGAGCGACGCCAAGCGCGACTTCATTTCCACACGTGTCGTATTAGTACAAGGATACTACGCCAGAGCTTAACTTGTAACACCCCTTATCGTTGGGTCCTCTCTAGGGAGGACCCTGTAGTTTCTAATCCGGACACCCTAAGTCCCCTTTATTAAGACTCTTCTTTTGACTAAGTATTCGGTGCAACTCCGAGGAATTTTATGGAACTATTCGATGTCAAAGGGTTTTAGATTTTCCACTGTCTGAAAAAAAGAAATGGAGGCGAGACGCGACGGTGGTTTCGATTGTCAAGGTAGGAAGATATTGCAGAACGGTATTGGACCTATGCGATCTCAGCGTAAGACGCCACTAATTTACATCCTTTCCAAGTCTACTAGATACTCCTAGGATGTACTGGAAACTCGTATCAGCATCCTCTTTGTCGTATTAAATAAGATTACTGCATTTGAGGAAAGATCAGAATGCGGTTCAGTCAGTGCAACAGGCTTGTAATTGAACCTTTTCAATTGTAGATTCCTGGGGACTAATAGAAAACATTGGGTTGTTTCAAAACTCGAATGATGGCCGGACCACTAAACTCTCCTGCTGACGAGTTTTATATCGACAAGGATAACATTTTGTGTGTACTAAACCATTAACTCTTAGTAATATTAGAACATTTGCTGCATCGATTGCGATTTTGCTTAACGAAGAGACATTACATATTGCCAAAGTTTCTTAGTATGTATGTTGATAGTGGTTGGATTGAGGGGAAATACAATTCGTGCTCGGCATAATAGAGTAGTAGGCGTCATTGCCCGTGACTTCACCATGCAGCAATCTTATCGTGACCAATTGGCATTCGGGCTCCATACAGCTGCGCCGATAACGACAACTGTATTTACTGGAGGTCTGATTATTGCAGTTGAACCGTTTCCCATAAACAATACGGAACTGGGTAGTTTTCAGTCCCCGGAATCAGCCCGTCTCTTCCTCACCTCACCTTCTCCGTCGGAAAAGATAAGACGGGTCCTATGTGTACACCACACCGCTCAACAACATGTTTGGTTAAACAAGTCTTATTGAGCATGCATACGCCCTGGTTCTAGACAATACCCTGTATTTGTAGTGCAGCAACTAAAGCACACAATGTCTCGACCATACGACAACGCAAACATTGACCAACTCCAACGCGATGCTGACGACTGTCTACTTACGTATGGAACAGCCTTCCACTCCGAAATTATCACATCTACAGACGGCGTCTATGTCGAAACCGCATCGGGCCATCGCATGATGGATGTACGTTACTCTCAGCCCAGCCATCTCAAAAAAAAAGAGCACTCCACTGAATTCTCCACCACAGTTCACTTCCGGCCAAATGAGCACCCTAATCGGCCACGGCCACCCGGAAGTCGTCAACGTAATCCAAACCCACGCCCAGCACCTCGACCACCTCTTCAGCGGCATGATCAGCCCTCCCGTCATCAGCCTCGCCAAACGCCTCACCAGCGTCGCTCCCACTGGCCTCGACAAAGCCTTCTTCCTCAGCACCGGCGGCGAAAGCAACGAAGCCGCCATCCGCCTCGCCAAGTTCTTCACTGGCAAATTCGAAATCGTCGGCCTCGCAGCGTCCTGGCATGGGATGACGGGTGCATCGCTCGGGGCGCAGTATCACGCTGGACGATCTGGCTACGGACCCAATATGATTGGGAATTTAGCGCTGCCGACGCCGAATTCTTATCGCTCCATTTTCCGGAAGGCAGATGGGACGTATGATTGGGAGACGGAGCTGAATTACGGGTTCGATTTGCTAGACAAACAGTCTTGTGGTTCGCTTGCTGCTGTTATCGTCGAGCCGATTTTATCCAGTGGGGGGATGTTGGAACTTCCGCCGGGCTATCTCAGAGCTTTGAAGCAGCACTGTGAGAAGAGGCGCATGTTACTGATTGTCGATGAGGCGCAGACTGCGCTTGGGAGGGCGGGCGATATGTTCGCTTTCACCCATCATCCAGAGGATGAGGGCGTGGTGCCTGATGTTCTGACTCTAAGCAAGACGCTGGGCAACGGTATGCCGCTCAGTGCGGTCCTGACGTCGAACAAGATCGCCAGTCATGCGAAAGAGAATGGGTTTCTGTTCTACACTACGCATATTAATGATCCGCTTCCTGCAGCGGTTGGAGATAAAGTGCTCGAGATAGTAATTAGAGACGACCTTTGTGCTCGGTCCAAACGGCTCGGTGTGAAGCTTCAAGCCGGGCTCAAACGGCTCCAGTCTCGCTATGGATGTATTGGCGATGTGCGTGGTCGCGGTCTCATGGCTGGTGTGGAGATTGTCAGTGACAGGAAGACGAAGGCTGGGGCTCCTGATGTCGGAGCTGCGGTGTCACAAAAAATGGAGAAGATGGGGTTGTGGGCGCAGTTGGCTACAATGGCGTCGTTTGGTGGTGTTTTTAGGATTGCACCCCCGATCACTGTTACAGAAGAGCAGCTGGATGTTGCATTGGGGGTCATTGAGGAGGCGTTGAGGACGACCCCTGGCACTATGCCGTTGTATGCGACAGAAGGGGCAGTGGTAGATGGCCAGCCTGTTGTAAAGTCAAATATTTAAACTTGGCACCACAGTTTCATGCTGCGAGTATTGAACTTTGCTTATTTTTATCCATGCAAGGATTCTGGAGAGATGGCTCGTAGAAAACGTCATCATCTGTCAAACAAATCAAAGTTCACTTGCAAGCAAGAACAGGAAAGAGACAATTGTGAGCAATGACAAGATTTTGACATTGTTGAGCTATAGACAAATCGGGTTGATAAAGATAGTATATACAGAAAAGAATCCACCAGCTCAGCTAGCACAGCACGTAAACCGAAAACCACGCCTGTCATCTTCCAGTCGTTCAGAGAGCCATCGGGGCCATTCGTTTAATCTTCTGAGAGAAGAATTTATGGGCAGTTGACGGTGATCTGGGCGTTACCAGTGGAGAAGTAACCCTCAGTGGCAACAATCTGGTAGTAGTGCTGACCAAGGTTCATGCCCTTGCTGGCCCAGGCGTCAAAGTGAGTCTTCATGTTGACGGATCCGGAAGATCGCTTGTTCTGACGAACAGACCAATACTGCTGAAAGGTCCTGGTGCCATCAATGGAGGGCTGGTTGGTGCGGGTCGACTGAGCGATCTTGTAGGAAGAGCCGTCAGAGGTGACAGTACCCTTGTTCTGGGACTGGGAAGATGGGTCGTAGGTGCCGAAGTTCTCAACGACGTAGTACTCGACAAGGGGGTTGCGGGTCCAGCCGTAGACGGCAAGGTAGGAGTTGCCATTGTAGTTGTAAGTACCAGAGTAGGTGATGGTACTGTATCGATGTTAGTGTCTGTAGTATATCAGAGTTGAGTAGGGCAGTCCATACCGGGCAGTTCCTGGGTTCCATCCCTTTCCACCGACGAGGTTGCCGCCGCTTCCCCAGCTTACGCTGTAGCTACCACCAGCACCGTTGGTGTAGGTAGCGCGGGCACCGCCATCGGACCACCAAGACCAGAAGCAGCCGTTGTGGGTACCCTCGCCGTTGGGGGTGTTCTGACGGGCAACGAGAGACACATCAGTGGCGGGGGCGGCAAGAGCACCGGTAGCCGCAACAGCAGCGGTGATGATGGAGGTGAAAGAAACCATTTTGATGGTGTTGTTGTTGTTGAGTGAATGAAGCGAAAGGAAGTGGTGGTTGTGGGGATGATAGTCTGCCTTGGAGCCGACTCAGGATGGCTTTATACTCTCCCTCCCATGGCATGTGAGTGGAAACAAGACCGGATGTTGTGCACAGCCAAGACAAACACCCTCGTCATGATAGCGGTGTTCCATCTGCTAGAGTAATATCAGCTAGGATGTAGATCGAGCAGCAGGCAAGGCGGAAAGTAGACAGTAATTTGTTTGACTTGGCTTTTTCGTAAAGAAAGAGCTCAAGAGGAGCTGGCTTGAGCCAATGGAAGAAGAGAAGTGACCAAAAGTTTCGTATTTGGAGAAAAACGGGCAACGATGGTTGGCTCCAGAGATGAAACGGTATGGGTGGGGCAAGGCTGTGGAGTCATTTACTTAGAGGCTGCAATCTGCTACGTCCGGACCTGTGGCTCCCAAAAGGAATCGCGCAACAGCAGTGGCGGAGACGACCCTCTCCACTCAAGCCTCCCACTGTTCCGCATGCATGTGCCAAGCTTTCCACTTTTAATCTTTGCCCACGGCTAAACAATCGCTTGGCAGGAGTCGCGAATCCAACAGCCGTGAGCTTGTTTAATCAAACTGAAGCCGTGAAACACGTGTGGCCAAGGTGGTGCGTAGAGCTGGCCAGTCGCTCCTGAGCCCGGGTCTATTATTGAATGCGATATACAGGTCGAAAGGGCGCTGTGTAACGGTTGTGCCTTGGTGCCCAGACGGTGGAAAGCGTAGATGGTGACGAGAAAGGGCCAAGATCTGCGGCGAAGGCGTCCAACTCTCCGATGAAATGCGCAAATTTGCCGGGCCCACGTGCCATGCGCTCTGGCTTCTCCTCGTGCAAACGCATCTGTTCTAGACCAAGACGAGAAGGCCAGCAAAGGAAACGTCCATCCTTCGAAAAAAACATTCCGGGTGACGGGCTGCTCCACCGTTGACGATGGAAGTCTCCACGCCGCGCCGAGCCAGGCGGGGGCCCGGGTTTCATCAACATTGCCGCCAGAACCAGGCAATCGTCACGCAGCAGCCGCACATCCGAGAAATGCCTGCAGCCTTAACCAGGCCCATAGGCAATATAGCCAGCGTATGTGTGTGTAAATGATTTTCTTTGTTGTTGTGCGCTGGCGCATGAAGCCATGACAAACATACGCATATCAGGTCATGCACTCGGCACCTACATTTGCTTCTGCCGGCTTTGGCAAGCTACCCTAGCCCTATAAGCTTGCCGTTTGCCGACATAGTACGGAGAATTATATGCGTCTCCATCGTGCTAGTGATCTGGGGAAGTTTAGCCCAACGAATCACTATTTAACCACAGTTATTATGCAAACCAACTTTACAAATCGCCTTTCCTAGCCTTTTACTAGCAAAATAGGCGCCTGCACCCCGGATTTGAGGGGTACATATGCATGGAATTACGTCCTTGGGTGCCGAGTGTCTTGGTACTGCACAAGACGTCTTGTCCAGGCTTGTCCCGGTGGAAGAAGTGGTGTTGTGTGGAGCTTGATTCAACCGTTGTTTTATGAAGGGGAAGGCCGTGTACGAAGGACTGTGCAGAGAATGAAACATCAACTTGAAAGCTCTCAGAATAGGCTCAGAATGTACGCAGAGCTGATATTGCGTAGTATCGAGGTTGCGCCATACGCCTAGAGGCCCCTTTACCACGCAGCATGCAATATCAAGGTTTTAGCAGGTCGCTGTTGTAATCAGCCGGCTGGGTTGGGGTCAGCAAGAAGCCGTGCAGCTCTGCACAGTGTGCTTTGGAAGCATCGATGACGAGTTTAGTTTTGCGAAAATTTCACCAAGTGCTGTATCTATCTGATCGATCTTGTGCGGTTATTGTAGAGATTTGAAAACTTGACAGGCGCCGGTTCTGTCTGTCTACAAAGTAGCTTGATATCAACTCTACTCTTACCATAGAATTTCCAGCAGAACCAAATGCCTATCAAGACATTTACGGAGAGGCTAAACACAGCAGTAACAGCGAGAGAGGAACCTTCGTAACGAGAGGACAAGATGGTGTCTTTCAAACCAAGACATGTTGTTCACCATCGACAGTGTTTAAACACTGTCTCACTACAACCTCACGATATATAACTACACTCCTGAGATACATTGTAAGAAAACTTCACAACACAAAGAGATTATACGTATACACAGACAGAACATATACACAAAGAAAACTTACACAATGCTATCCTCACGACCATATATATATATACGATTATCTCCAACCACGATCCTAGAATCCACCAAAAGAGATCAATTACTACACAACCAACAGCCCAACACACAAACACACACACATTAAACGCCTAATCACTAGATATAACACACCAACAAGTCAATATGTGCCAATACAACTTCGTCCGTTTCACAGCCTGCAATCACACAGTCCAGGACAAGGATGTCCCCCTTGAGCGCTGCAAGTCGAAGACACGCACACTGTGGCAGAAGGCGTGTGACCAGTCGGAGACGGTAGTCATTTCGCAGAACGGGCTGTGCAAGGAGTGTGAGGACAAGCTGGAGGGGAAGTTGATGAAGCTCAAAAAGCTTCAGGATAAGGAGTTGCGTGCAGAGGAGAAGGCGAGGAAGAAGTTGTAAGGTTAGTTGAGGGCAGGCTACGCTGGATGCGGCGAGCTTGAGTAGGGAAGAAGAGGTAAGACTGATGGATGGAGGGCATGGGCACGGAGTTAAAGGTACAGAGACTGTTTTAGGTTTGTCATATTAGACATGGATAGGATATCATCAGGACAACAAGATCAGGAATTCTATACTGCTTTATTGATTCACACATGTAGCATATGCACTGATAGGCATAGACCAATAATCAAGGTGAAGAAAGAGTAATAGAGACATTGATATGTACAAAGCGAGGGTATATAGCATTGCATGCTGTGATGCTTTCCAAAAGAAACAGAAAAAAAAAAGAAAAATGTAGTATCCAACTCCACGCTAGTAATAGGTCATGATTCCAGTCATAAACATCGTGATTCCATGTTTCTCTTTCACCTTGCCAAAAGAAAAGAAAAAAGAAAATGGAAAACAAAGGATACGGTCCCGTTCTAAAAACCTTGCAACGCGCATGACTAATGCACAGAAATCTTTCTTGCTCTAGCAGCCTGCAAAAAGGCACCATAACTCCAAGTCAAATGCTGGGCACCACGCATGTACCCAGTTACACGGTCAAACTGCTCACTCATGCTGCCCTCGGCATCCACATGCGTCTTGACGACTTGCAGAAACTCGTCGCCGGTGCTCTGAAGGCGCTCGATGACGGAGTGGAAAAGGGCGTCTGTGGGGCCAAACGTGCCAACGTCGACATCTAGGGAGGAGCTACCGAGGAGAGACTCGTAAAAGGGAAGGCCAACATCGGTAAGAGTCAAGTTGCCAGTTGCAGAGATGTGCGAGGCGGTGCGGTAAAGAATCTCGGCGGCAGAAGAGGTGCAAAGGAACCATGGGTTTCCACCACGGTTCGAGTTTCCATAGCCGTCGTATACATCCTCGGGATAACGACCAAGGCCTGTTCCCTGGAATGTGGACTCGTCTACGTCGTCATCGTCGTCATCCTGGCCAGAAGGATTGCTGTTGATGGGGAAACGGTCGCGCTGGTCTCGAGTCAAAGCAAGCAGAGAAACAAGAATCTCGTCAGACCACGGAGGGTACACAACATCATCATCTTCAGATCCGCTCTTAGGAAGGGCGTGCAAAGAGCCGAGAAGCAGTCCGCAGTCGAGGCCACTCCTCTTGCTCCAAAGCGTCTCAACAAGATGTCCTTTTTGCGCATTCCAGAATTTGCCCAACAGGTTCTCAATGTAGCCAGCTTGCTTTTGGTACCAATCCGCCGCACCGACGTCTCCAAAGACTCTTGCCAGGTGACTGCCTTCCCTCAGACTCCTCGCGCTGACCATGAGGGTGAAGAAGTGCAGGCCCTCGACCTCTTCCCAGAGATCGAACCCTGACTGGTTCCAGAAATGGCTGACATACTCGAGATCTGCTTTGATGATGCTACGAGGGGGCATTTCAGCGGTGTAGAACGAGCCAAAAAAGTCTTCCGAGTTGGGAGAGCTCCATAGTGAGGGATGGGATGCATTGTACTCGCGGAGATAATGCATAAGCGTCAGTGCGCGAAGGGCCGGCCCATCGCGCTGAGGTCGTCCCCACGAGCCGGTAAATGGCTTGCCATCGACTTGGAACTTGGGCTCACCTAGTCCGGAAAGGTCGTCAAATGTGCCAGACGGGTTTGAAGTGCGCTGAATGTCACCTTGGAGGGAGGTGTATGCGTCTAGGATGGTGGATAGAGAAGACGCACGCGAGGACGAGGGGTCATCGGCATAGATGTTGACGAGGGTATCCATGGTGATAGCAGCGTCACGGACCCCTGTGACGAGTTTAGTACCAAACGATTGCGGTATGACGTCTTAGAGATACTCACATTGGAACCAGTAGTCCGGACCGTCTTGACTAGGGCTGGCGATGACGGTGCCCTCAGCCACACCTTTTCCTTGGACATTGCTACCTCCAGGCGCGATGTTGGCGAGCAGTTTATCGAGTGCAATACGCTCTTCATGCTTTATCCAGGCATCAAGTGTGTCTTGAAGCGGTTGCTGTTGCTGCACACGGCTGGAAGCAGCAAAAGTGGCGAGGGAGGGAAGACGAGGTATTGATAATGTGTAGGCATGGTGGACGAAGCCTGTGAGGAGGAACACGCGAGGGAGCATGATGAGCGCCGAGAGTGCCTACCAGGGTGTGGATGGATGGATGGCTGGCGTGAGACAAAAAAGAAGCTTAGGTCTGCTGGCAGCTCATATGGGAGCCTTCAGAGTCGACTATGACGAGGAAGAGAAGCGCGATGTCATAAAGACTAGACGGTAGCACGCGAAGCTGGGCATAAAGAGCCATCGAAGCCCGTAGGCCATCAACGCCTTCCGTGCGCGCGCCATGCCCCGGACCGGCGACTATGACCGTGTGGATGATGACAGTGGGCCCTCGTGCCAGTGTTAGCGGGCGGCGTGGACGAGTAGGAGGCGGTGGAGGAGGTCGCGCGGACAGTTGCTCGTCCCGATCCAGCTGGCGGATGATGGTGAAAGGACCACGCGAGTCACGGCCAGCAACGTCACGCGACCCGCCCTCGTGGATCCGGGGTAGGCGGTAGGCAATGCAAGGCACTCAGAGGCTCGGCGTACGACACGCCAGGGTCATGACAGCGCACCACAAAGAAGCATGCCCATGGGCCGAGGCATCGACAAATGACGCTTTCTTTTTGCACCTGAAAGAAGCAATGTGCATAGCAGATGGCCTGGCTGCTACAAAAAGCACTTGGCTCGACCCCCGGGATGCATACGCCGAGATGGCTCACCCCATGTCTGGCCCCCCGAGCGGCTCTCGGGAATCAAGATGCAGGGCGTTTTGGCCAAAAGTACTAGCAGCAGACAAATCCCACGACTATGTACATGTACCTGATACATCATACATACATACATGTGATAATATGCAACATGGCATATGTACCGAAGGCTAGAACCTTCCCGGCATGCTCCGAGGTCCGGGTGGGTGAGGACTGCAAGGCGTGAGGGGTACACGGTGTCGGCTACTTGCATGTAACCGCCGCCCAATGAGCATCGGCTATTCCCAATACATGCCGTCAAGTCATCACCATGGACGTATATACACATGTACATTGATCTCAGACTGGCTGAGAGGCATCAGAACAATCGACTCTGAAACTGTCCTTTGGGCATTGGCCCTGTGTGCTATGACTGTTTGATCCGGTGAGTTTCCACATCTCACCTTGTCTGATCAGCCAGCCAATCATCCCATGCCGCGTACTTGAAGACGCACGTTCATCATATTCACCCCCATTCAACATGCTCTTGCACAAAACACACGCCCTGCGCAGCCCCGGGTACCGGATATGCCAAGCCTCCCTTTCCACGACAGCTAGACGCACCAACTACGATGCTACAATCCAGAACCTCAAGATTGGCTCTCACACCCGCGTCATCTTCCAGGGATTCACCGGGAAACAGGCTACTGCCAATGCAAAAGAGTCGATAGAATGGGGGACAAACGTAGTCGGCGGCGTCAAGCCCAATGGCTCTGGCGAGCATCTGGGGCTGCCTGTTCTGCCCTCTGTGAGAGCAGCAATGGAGCAGCTGAAGCCTGATGCAACGGGCATCTACGTTGCAGCCCACCAGGCTACTGCTGCGATTGAAGAAGCAATCGAAGCAGAGGTACCGCTTATCGTCGCAGTGGCTGAGCACATACCATTGCATGATGTTATGAGAGTGAGTCAACAGGCTCCGAACAACATGTCAGAGACACAGAGCTGACGCGGCTGTAAGATCCATTCCATGCTGCAATCCCAGTCAAAATCACGCCTTGTAGGTGCCAATGCCCCAGGAATCATCTCGGCTGTTGGGAAATGTAGGATTGGCTTCCAGCCACTACCAACATTTTCACCTGGTCACATTGGTGTCGTGGCAAAATCTGGCACCCTCTCCTATGAGACGGTAGCATCCTTGACAAGAGCCGGGCTCGGACAGAGTCTATGCATTGCAGTCGGTGGAGATGTGATTGCAGGAACAAACTTTGTAGATGCTCTCAAAGTCTTTGAGCATGATCAGGATACCGAGGCTATCATTATCGTAGGCGAACTTGGTGGTACAACCGAAGAAGAGGCGGCGGATTGGATCAGAGATTACAGAAAACGCGTGAAAAATCCCAAACCCATTGCTGCTGTCATTGGAGGTTTTCAGGCACCATATGGCAAAGTCATGGGCCATGCTGGGGCCTGGGTTGGTCTTGGAGAAGGCACCGCAGAGGCAAAATACAAGGCACTTGAGAGTGCTGGGGTGACTATGGTTGATCATCCTGCCAAATTTGGCGGGGTGATGAAGAGCATTCTTGCAAATTCTGATGGTAATGCTGGGAAGATTGTAGGCTCACACTTGTCAAGGTACCCTCTATTATGTTCTGACTTGTTACAGGAACAATCAGTAGCTCAGCAACGCCGTTCATATCACACATCTCTAAACCGAAGGCCAGCCATAAGCTCCTCTAAAACGGGTTCCTTGTCCACACAAAAGCGCTCCCTTCACCTTTCCAAAGAGCAGTCCACGGCCCTCCTTGAAGCCTTCAAAATCAACCTCACTATACCTCCAGAAGGCTCACCATCAACCCACTACCTAGGCATTTCTCCCGACCGTTCCAGCCGCTCTCCCTCTATCATTGCTGCTCCGACAGCCAACCCCTCCAAACTCAGCCACCGCATTCGCCGTTTCCCTTTCGACTACCGCACAGGACCCAGTCCATCTGCCATTGCCGCCGCAACAGCCCACATGCAACTCTCAGCCCTACCACCAAAATCCAAATCGCAACTCGTCCAAGCCATCCACAACCTATGGAACCTCTACACCTCCAAGGAAGCCATAGACGCCCACGTCAAACTCGCCCTATCCGTCGAATCCGACGACCTCCTCTTCTACGACCCCTACCTCTTCTTCGACGACGCAGCCTTCAAATCCGGCAACCGCCAGTCTGACCTCCACGCCCTACGCGACCAGACGGCAATAAGCACTACAGACCGCGAAGCAGAAGAAGCAGGAATCGTCTACATTCCCCTTGAATCACCTAGCAGTAGTGGTAGTTCCGACCCAAGTCCCAAAAACCTCGTCGGCACCCTAGTCAACGGCGCAGGCCTCGCACTCAACACACTCGATACTCTTGCCTTGCGCCTCGCACCCATGACGTCCGCTGCCAATTTCCTCGATACGGGCGGCAAAGCCACGTCTGCGACTATCAAGACGAGTTTCAAGCTTCTCCTCGCCGATCCGCGCGTCAGCGTCATTTTCGTCAATATCTTTGGCGGACTGACGCTCTGCGATATGATTGCTGAGGGTATCATCATGGCGTTTCGGGATGTGGGCGTGGAGAAGCCGGTTGTGGTGCGGTTGAGGGGCACGAATGAGGAGAAAGGGCAAAAGGTGCTGGAGGAGGCCAAATTGCCCATCTTTGCTTTTGATGATTTTGAGCAGGCGGTGGGCAAGGTGGGTGAGTTGGTTGCTAAGGCTGTGAATGCGTAAAGAGAGAGAGGAAAGATGAGATTAAAATGATTAGATTCGTCGCAGTCACTCACTCACTCACACACACTCTCTCTCACGTCCCTTTTCCCGGTCCAGTCCCATTGCGAATAAACATTGTGCCGCTGCGTCCGGAAATTTCCCCTTCCTTTCCACATCCCACCACCATGCCCCCCTTGTTCTACACAGAAGCAGGAAGGGGGAACGACATACGTAACAAAAACAAAGCCAAATTCACAAAAATCCTCTCGCATACGCCATGGAAGCTCAGAAAAAGGTGTAGTACATCGGAGTATAATAAGAAAAATAAGAGGTATCTCCAAGGCCGGAAGAAAGTGGGAAAGAAGGAGGGGGAGGGGGGAGAGGACATTCCAAACGATGGATCGAAAAAACCAAAGTAACCCAAAACATATCGCAGGAATTCGTTTGACAGTAAGTTTTAAAAAAAAGAAGATGGCCGGAGGGAATGTAGCAATGACACTATACAAAGTATTGGAATGCGGTTCTGCCAAAAAGTTAGTTATGTGCGCTCGAATGGTTGGTTCTAAAGATGGACAAGAAACTTACCCAATCGCTGCCATGACTCCCAGGCCAACAAGTGCCCTCCTTGTCACCTTTTCCTTTGTCATCTTTTGCTCGGTCGTGTACGCCTTTTTGGCGAGCTTGTTGAGGCGCTCATCAGCCAAATCTTCCTGGTCTAGCACTTCTTCGATTCCGCGCTTCGATGACCGCGCCGCAGCCGATGGCGAGCCGCCCTCGAGTTTCTGTGCTTCAGCAACCATGCGCTTGGCCTCCTCAATCATGGCCGTTGGGTCTTCGGGCTCGGGGAGCGCGGCGTGGTCGTGTGGCACATCGACCGTGACGCTGGTGCTGGTCTTTTCTGTGTCGCCATTTGTCTCAACAGTTTGCTTCACTTCAATGTGAACTGTGCCCTCCTGGACCTCGAGCTCTGGCTCTGGCTTCTTCTCAGCATCCAGCACCGCCTCGACTTCTTGCTCCACCTCCTTCACCTCACCCTCGACCGATGACGCAATCGACTCAGCAGGTGCTACGCGCCTGGCGATGCTGTTTTGGAGCGCAGTTGACGGGGTGACGGCCTCAATAGGCCTGAACATGTCATCTGCATGGGTAGCCTCTGGCTTCATAGCGCTTCTTGTCGACCGGCCCTTTCGCGGGGTCGCGTACTTGCGGCCTGGGGTCATGGCCTTGCTGGGTGAGACTGATCGGGCCGAGCGCGCGCGAGTTTGGCGAAAGCCAAATGTAGGAAGAGTGGCGGGCTGGGCGTTTGCAACATCGAATCTGGGAGGCATTTGGATGGGGGTGTTTGATTTATCCTTGCCGCCCTTTTCGATGGGCGCGGGGTCGAGGAGCGCCTCTATCCAGTGGCGCATCGAGTACTCCTCGGACAAGGCCAGAGCTAAGCGAATCGTGTCAGATGTCCATCATTTGCGAATTGAGGGATTTTTTTTATATTCAAGGAAGAAACTTACCCTCCTCTGGCGAAATCCAAACGCTTCCGGCTACCTCCTCGTCACCGGCTGAAGGGAATGTCTTCTGGTACTTGCGTTCGAGATCCTCTTCCTGGAGCGAAGCCCAGGGGAACGCAGCCTTGAACATTCCCGTCGCACTGATGTAACCGTCGCTGCTGCGTCGCTATTTGTCGCGTTAGTCGTCGACTGCGCTCAGGGCAATGCGCTTGGTGATTGTTTTGCATGGCGTACCATCAAGAAATATGACTCTGGGAAAGCGGACATGCGGTTTCGCGAAAAGATGCCGGATCCCGTCAGGTCCTTTGGCAGCGGAACCCGGAGGTGCGCGTAGTCGAAAGTGCCCATGTTTTCGAGCTTTGTCGCGTTGGTAATACCCGAGACGCCAGCCTTGACACCCAAGTTTGTTTGTCCGAGGCGACGTCTTTCAATGAGAATCTCGACTGGCGATCTTGTCAGTCGCGTTGCTAGATGGAGGAGATGAGAAGCGACGCGATGCGCGACGTGTACGTACTGGCCGTCGAGTCGGTGGGCTCAAGGAGCGGGTTCTTCCTTTCGGGGAGGACGCGATCAACAACCATTTTGGCGACGTCTGGGGGGTTGTCGTGGAAGAGGATATTACAATGGATGTATGGGAGGTGCGGCGCGCAGCGCGTGGGGTATCGCGAAAAGATTGCGAGGGAATAAGAGTGCGTGTTGCGCGTGCGATCGACGTGATGATGAAAGAGTGCGTGGTTGCGACAGAGGCGAACAGACAGACAGGCAGGAGCGATGGGGATGCTATCCCTGTGCACTAGCGCTGCCCACGCCCACGCCCAGTCCAGCCACCCCCGGGCAATGTCGTCGCGCGCATCAGACTTTGGCAGCGGCCTTATTATCACGTCCTTGTGGAGTGTCCATTCTAGAGCATTACTATATTAGTGCTACTGCCGATTGGCCCTGATGCTATTTCTTCTGCCCATTGCAGGCCCGATGAAGCGTCGTGCAGATTGCAGGCGCTGCTTTAAGAAGAGGGCCACTAGATCACGCGTTCGCCCTGTCGTGACGCGCTATGTACATATCCATCAGTACACAAACACACAAACATGTCTACGTACAATGACCGCACACTGGCAAGCTCCCTTTGTCTGCCCCAGGCCGCCAACACTGCGCCACCCAACAGTAGCCCGACGACATGCACACTCAAGCATTACGGTGGTGCCTCGCACGCTATTACATCGGCCTCCCTCGCTCTCCAGATACATGACAGCATCTAAGTAGGTGTGTACTTATACATACTTATCCATGCACCTGGGCAGTCATCCATGGGCCTGGCAATGTCAGCATTCAACAGGGCACTGCTCTGTCCCAGCATCAGCCCGGTATCGCTCGGCAAAGCTGAAGCAAAGAGCAACAATGCGAAGCAGCCATGAACATAAGCAGCCATCTGGAGCGAGCGATCCCCAGGACCTGCAGGGCATAATCCCCATCGCATCCAGATAATATCTCCGGATTGGTAGCCAGAGACTGTCTGCGACCAACTGCGCTAAACACGTCACCCTGGTGCCCTGGCGTCGACGGGCCAGAGACAATGGGGAGCGTCTCGACAGCAGCAGCAGCAGCAGCAGCAGCGGCGGCCTGAAGGCCTGTTGTTGCTTTTTCTCGTCTGTGTGAACGCGCGGGGCTGTGTCCCTGCACCGCTGTGAGACGTCTTCGTCCTCAATACACTTGTCGCCTCTTCTCTCGCTGGCCCCCTAGAGGACTGTGCATGATGCACTCGTGTCGCAGCACGAGTCTGGATGACATGCGACGTATCAAAGGGATCCACCGCCCACCCAGCGACGCGGCAGGCCCCGCCAGGAACCAGGCGCCTTAGCCGCTTTGAGCTGCTGGAGCGGTGAAAGTGCCCCGCTAACTTCGAGGCTCAACATGAGGCCGCGCCTACTTGGGCCCCTCATTCCTCCAATTGACCCTGATCTTCTCCACAACATTCTCTCGCCGCCTGTTGCCAGCCACACACAACCACCCATCCCTCTCTATCCAACCACACCCGCCATGGCCGACCACGCAGACGACCTCCACGCCGAGCAGACCGAGGGCTTCAAGGTCGGAGAGAAGAAGACAATTGACGAGTACCAGAAGCTGGGTACGTGGCAACCCCCATCGCGCGGCCAGCCCATACAAACAGCTTGACAACACTTGCTGACCTTCGACCGTCACAGACCAGAATGATGAGTCTCTGCAAAAGTGGAAGGCGTCCCTTGGCCTTGGCCAGGGCAAGGACATCTCCGACCCCAACGACCCCCGCAAGTGCATCATTCTCTCCCTTGGTCTCGAGGTAGAGGGCCGCGACGACATCATCATCGACCTGCGTGCTCCTGGTGCGCTCGAGGAGCTCGAGAAGAAGCCCTTCACCATCAAGGAGGGTGCAAGTTTCCGCATGAAGGCACAGTTCAAGGTCCAACACGAGATTCTGGCAGGCCTCAAGTACCTCCAGAAGGTAACCCGCATGGGTGTTAGCGTCAAGCTGCAGGAGATGATGGTATCTATCCTCACCAGACTCGTGCATCTACACATACGCTGACCGTCATAATAGGGTTCATACGGCCCCAACACTGAGGAGAAGCCGTTTTACGAAAAGAAGTGTACATGTCCCATTTCAACAAACACCCTCACGTCACTCTGCTAACTCTTCCTTCAGTCGAGCCCGAAACCGCTCCCTCTGGCATGCTTGGTCGCGGCCACTACACAGCCCTCTCCAAGTTTGTCGACGACGACGACCAGGTCCACCTGCAGTTCAAGTGGTCTTTCGACATCAAGAAGGACTGGTGATAGGCAATCGGCCAAGTCCGCATGTTGGGAAAAGGGTTGTGTTGTCGCACGGCGCAACACGGCAGTCTCTTTTAGTTGGAAGCGGTGGATATCCAGAGTGCTTGAGCTCCCACGAAGTAACGAAGCGACGGCTGACGGTCGACCGTTTGGACGGATGCACCAATCCGACCAGATATCGATCCTATAGCTTTGAAAGAATCAAAATTTTCAGGACCTTTTACGTCTCGTTCCGTTCTTGGGTCGAATGTGCTTGATGTTTCTCGAGCTGATCGAAGTGAAACCATCTCCCTGCAATCCTCTTCGCCTTGACGGTCCGACCCGCCCATGCCTGCCCACTGCTTCCAGAACCAAATCTCCGTGCTGAAACATTGAGAATGGATACTTCTTGCTCCCACGGATCTCCCATGATAGTTTCGCACCGGGTCTCGTGCTCAGCATCCATTTCAACATCCTCTTCATCAGGAACTGCAGAGGTCCCATAGTTTCCTTCACACTCGACTATATGGAGTTGGACGCCAGTGTTCAGTGCAGCGTCAGCCGCTGTAGCAAAGCATCGTGACAATCCCTGGGCGGAGAAAGAAGGCGTTGATGCGTGCAGAGCGAGTGGATTTACCAATACCACCCTTTCCTTTGATCTAGTCTCAGCTATGGATTCAGCCGCAGTGTGACCATATGCAGTCAAGTAGGCGAGCAATGCCTGTACAGATGGGCAGAAAGCAATTCTGACCTGTCGGCTCGTGAATAAGTTGTGGAGCGAAGGCGCAAGCAGTCGCTCTAGCTCGTCTGTGGCTGGCTCGCCGCGACTCTGCTGCAATGAAGCAGCAAGGTACTCCAAGAAAGATTCCTGACTGGAGCAGATGATCAACAGGGTTGGGCTCGTGCTGGACTGGGTAGTCAGGACATAGCGGAGGAACCCAAGCAGTGTTAGTGGGTGGAGCACCGTCGGCGTCGGCGACATGGCAGATGGAGTGTCGAATAAGTCACGGCTGCCATGTGCCCATTGAAGCGCGATGTCGATGTCTGCTGCTGCTGCTGTTGTGTGGCGCCGAGTGCTCTAGGTGTACGTATTACCAGGTAGGTCACCAAAAGCCATGGACGGTCAGCACGGGCTGCAAGTGCCAATCGGCGGCTGTACCCGCTCCCCGATTCACACCCCCACCACCGTTGTTGTCCATGGCTCTAACTGCCGCAGCGCATGCACGCTGCCACGGATCATCACAACCTCGACGCCCAGAGCCTTTGCTGCCCATACCTTACCTGACTCTGCATAGCCGACCTCCCGTCTGTCGGCGAAGACGAATCGAGTCGTGGGCTCCCGGAAGCAACGCATTTCTCCCCGGGCCTAAGTCGCTGTCATGGAGTCCATCAGTCGCATATCGAGCTTGTTGGAGACAGGTATGGCGCCTTTCTCAATTTTCTTCTCTTACTCATCCATCACATCTCTTGTGCCTTTGCGATTTGTACTCGGCGAGTCTTGAACATGTAATCGCCTCGCTCGTCCACTATGCATCCATCCAGCTTTGCTCACTGGTCTCTTTCTACAGCCCGCGACCTTACCCTCGAAGCCGCCCGCGATGCCAGCAATGTCCGCCGAGCGCCCACAAGAGAGCTACCCTCGAGCCAGCTCAAGAAGCTTCTCGACAGCCGATCCGAGCGTGATGTCTTGGAGGGGCTCCGGAGAGTAATCACTGTATGCCAACCCCACCATGAATTCGGGGCCATCTCAGCAGACATGGCACGCGTTGGGACGTGTAGTAACTGACTACAGTCCCTCTAGATGTCCTATCGGCAACCTCCTGCGCAAACACTGCCTTTCTTCTCCCACGTAATCAAGAACGTCGCCTCGCCCTCGCTTCAGGTCAAGAAGCTCGTTTACATATACCTCCTCCAGCATGCCGAGCACGAGCCAGATACCGCTCTCCTTTCAATCAATACCATTCAAAAGTCGCTTACGGATACGAATCCTCAATTACGCGCATTGGCGTTACGAGTCATGTCGAGCATACGGGTCCCTGTAATTAGCCAGATTGTGAGTCTGGGAATCAAGCGCGGTACTGGAGATATGTCGCCGTACGTAAGAAGGGCAGCGGCTTTGGCGATACCGAAATGTTACAGACTGGACCCCAACACCGAGCCCCAGCTGCTGGAGCACCTGTCGACATTACTGGGAGACAAACAGTACTTTGTGACTGGAGCCGCTGTAGCATCGTTCCTAGAGCTATGTCCCGATCGCTTAGACCTCATACACCCACATTACCGCGCCTTGGTACGGAAGCTAGTCGACATGGACGAATGGGGTCAGTTGGCTACACTGCGATTGATGATGGTTTATGCACGGAAATGCTTTCCCAGAAGGACGAAAAAAGTCAAGAAGGCGACTGGCGCAAACACAAACAGCAAACCTTCTCAGGCCACAAAAGGATTTTATGATGATTCTGAGAGCGAATCTGAACAAGATGAGCGAGAGCAGGACATGGAGGAAATTGCTGTGCTGGATCCTGATCTTGAATTGTTGCTAAAAGGCTGCCAGTCGTTGCTCCAATCCCGAAACGCTGCCGTGGTGATAGCGGTAGCCCGAACTTACCTGTATCTCGGTACACCCGAGTACGTAACCCAAGCCATTGGGCCGTTGATCTCCCTGCTGCGATCTGCTGCGGACATCCAGCACATAGCGTTGTATAACATTGTACAGGTCTGCTTGGCACATCCTGAGCCATTTGTGAAATACTACACACACTTCTTGGTGCGATCAACAGATGCGCCGCACATATGGCAGCTGAAGCTCGAGCTGCTTACCTTGATATTCCCTCACGCCCACATGAGATTGCAAAGCTTAATACTTGCTGAGCTCAGCCACTTTTCACATTCTGGCAGTTTGGACCCAGCACTAGTCAAAGAGTCTGTACGCGCAATTGGACGCTGCTCGCAAAGTCCTGCAACCAGCCCCCAAACCTCGGCCAGGTGTCTTAAACTACTGCTAAAACACATTGGATCTGCCGATGCCCATTTGGTAGCGGAGTCGCTGGAAGTCATCCGGCACTTGATTCAACGAGACCCAAATGCCCATCGCACTACTGTTATTCGGTTAGCAAAGCATTTGGATGCAGCCACCAGTCCTCAAGCTCGCGCCAGCATCATTTGGCTAGTCGGCGAATTCGCCGGCCTGGATCCGGAGAACAATATTGCTGCGGATGTCCTCCGTATTCTTGTCAAAGGCTTTGCAGATGAGGCCGAGCCAGCCAAACTTCAGATTGTGCTGCTGGCAGCCAAGGTCTATGTGCATCATTTGACAGCCAATCCGCCTCCGGAGCCTAAAGTGGAGGAGCCCAAACCGAGCTCGTCCCTAATCGACGAATTCCAAGAAGAACAAGGCGGGTTCAGAGACGAGCATCTCGATGCACTCGCCCAGAACAACGAGCCTCAAGAGGAGGAGAAGCCACATATCATTGAGGCACTGTACAACTACGTTCTCTTGTTAGTAAGATACGATACTTCGTATGACCTTCGCGACCGTGCTCGCGTTTACAAAGCACTACTGGCGACACCTACCTCGACACAGTTGGCTTCACTCCTGCTTTTGGCACCCAAGCCAGTGCCGCACATTCCAAGCCCAAGTGAAACGCGAAAAGGCTATGTGTTGGGAAGCGCCAGTCTAGTAGTTGGTGATGAAGGCGGTGTTGGAGGACTCAAAGGATACGAAGACCTACCGCGGTGGGTCAAGGAAGGAAATGAGCCAGACCCCGCACTTCGCGACGAAATCGCGACTTCATCTTCTTCAAATTACGTATCGGCGTATGAAACTGCAAAGAACATGTCGGCAGCTGAGAGGCTGGACGCAGCGACGGGAAGTAGCGGTAGAATGACTGCAGACAACACGATTAGTCCAAGAGGTTTGAATGGGATTGGTGGAGATGGAGGTTTCGGTGGGGTGCCCAAAGCACCGCTCAAGGAGAAGACACTCGACGACTGGTTGGCAGAAGAAGAAGGAGATGACGGCGAGGAGGAAACCGAGACGGAGAGTGAAGAAGAGACGGAAGAGGAAGAAGAGAGCGAGGAGGAGAGCGAATACGAGACGGACAGCGAGGACGAGGAGACCGATGATGAGCGAGGTAATCTCATCAAGCAGTAGTCCATTTGAAAAGAGAGTGATTCAGACGTGGCAAACGCTTTTTCATGGTCCTGGTCATGAAGTACTCTCTTTGCGTAGCAATTAAAACCCGAAGAGAAGAACCAAAAAAGGGAAGATGATTGACTGATAATAAGCCAACTCAAAGCTTCGCCATGTTCCCCCTCTTCCGCATACTCTTCGTCTTGGCCTCTGCCCCCTGCCCCTTCCCTTCACCGTCGGAAACAACCGCACTAGCATCCTCCCACAGTCTCTTTGCCACAAGATCCACAAGCCCCAAAACTCTATTCTGCACCGTTGCCCCATCGCGCCGATTCTTGCCCTCGCGCCTACTCGCACTAATCCTTTCTGCAAACCGCCACAACGGGCCATCCGCCACTATACTCGCGCTGCCATCTGTTTTCCGCTGCGGCACCCACTCCTCCGCCAGCCGGATACCCAGGGCATTCTTGTTCTTCTTGGCTGACCCCTCGCCATTACGCGGGCGAGCAACAATAATCATGCCTTCCTCCTGAAACCTCGTGTAAGCGTTCTTCAGCGTTTCCTTGTTTACAGCTTCGAAGTAGGAGAGGTCGCCTTGGTGGTAGAGGGTTTTACCAAGGAGTTGGGCGTGGTCTTGTGTTTTCTTTTGGTCGAGCCATTTTGGGGACTGAGGTGTCGATGATGATGATGATGACATGGACAAAGGGGGTGTAAGCATCATTAGGCTTATTGCGCCGAGCCAGGCGGCTTCGATAAAGGGCCAGATGAGGAAACAGTAGAAGTCGTAGTTTTCGCGGCCTTGGGCGCGTTCGGTGGGGGAGAGCTCGATCCATTCGATTTTCGATTCGGTAGATGAGGAGGGGGTTTCTGGGGATGAGCGGGTTAGGGTTATGACATCGTCTTTTTCGAGGCCGAGGAGGGTTTTGGAGAGGTTGGTGTCGAGACCTTCGGTTGGGAAGATGAATTCGCCGCGGAAGAGCTGGGAGAGGAAATGGACTTGGGCGCGTAGGTCGGTGTATGACATGCGTTGGTACTCGGGCCCGCCGCCTTGCTTAACGTGTGTGTATAGTGCTGCGCTGACGAGACTTTGCAAGATGAACAAGTGGATGGTCATGTTGCGGTAGAAAGAGAGCTGGAATCGATCGACGGCGTAAAATGTGTCTTCTGGGAGATCGGGTACAAGACCGACGAGCCCTGGGCCGAGCACTTCGAGCGCGCGGTCGACAACGACACTGGTGGGGAGATTGCCAAAGTGTGCTACGCGGCCGCCTTGGGCTCGCACACGGTCGCTGAGCCATTCTACGCGTCGGATGAGTTCGGTTTTGCCGACACCACGGCCGCGAAGTGTGAGTAGGACAGTACCAACCAACGCCGTGGGCATGACTACTGAGACGTCGTTGATTTCCGACAGCACCTTGTACCCCAGCGTGCGGAGGATACGGAGTCGATCTTCTTTGGTGTCAATTTGTTGGGGTAACTTGGAGAAACGATCGCGTTGCTGGGTAATGAACGACTTGAGAGACCAGGGCTCATGGAAACGGACGTCTACACGACCAAGCTTGAGAGAGAGGACGGAAGAAGCAGACAAGAAATCCATAAGGTTTTCTTTCGGCTTTGGCTGGCCGAGGAGCTCGCTAATATATGAGCTGTTCACTGTTAGCATCCATATTCATCTTTGAGAGAATTCGCAGACGTACTCAACCTCAATCACCTTGTCATATTGGGTTGAAACTGGACAAATGATGGCATCATCTACCCGACCACTAGCAACACTATCCAGCATGTAACTCAAGATGCCAAACTTTGGTGGCAGAAGCTTGCCTGTACGACTGCGGCCTCCTTCGACGAAGCACTCGAGGTTATAACCACATCGCAACAAAGTATCTATGTATGCCTGAACCAGCGTGATGTACAGTTGGTCGTCTCCGAAGCTCCGTCGTATCCACATGGCGCCCGCGTGTTGAAGAAATGAACCCACAACTGGAAAGTTTAAGTTGTCGCCAGCTACAACGGTGGGCAAGGCAAGACCAAGCCTGTAGCAAATAATCTGGAGGGAAACATAGTCGACATGGGAGCGATGGCAAGGCAGGAATATGATCGAGTGCTTGTCCTTGGCTGCTTTTTCAGCTACCGCGCGTAACCGCAGGACTTCCTCGCTCGAAACATGAACACCCTGGTGGTATGCCCTGGTGAGGAGCTGAGTTGCAAAGTAGTATGCACCTCTTATAAAAGGCTTGCTTTCCATTTTGCAGATCATTGAGTCTGTCCAGCCCTCGCTGACCTGCATGAGTGACTCTTCAATCTCGGCCCTCCTCTTGGACTTTCTGTCTTCATCATTTAGCAATCCTTGCTTGACTTCAACCTCAATTCTCTTGTCCGCGAGTTCACGTATTTTGGCGATAAGCATTGGGCTGCTCAGCACCCTACCCTTCATATCTTCACTGAAGCCCGAGTAAAACTCCGGCTGGCCGATATGGTGGTCAAAAGACCGCCATCCTGTTCCAGAGAAATGGAGCGATACTTCGCGCAAAAAGTCCAGAGGCGAGGAGCGGAAGCGCGCAAAGCTATGTATGAGGCCGCGATCCGGCGACTCATTGTAGCCGGCTGCGTGGAGATGCACATTGTCGTCTGCAGTTATGCTGAGGTCGGGAGCTTGTTCCGAGGTAGAAGAGGGTGAAGCTGGCGGGCTCTGCGTCTCGTCTGAGCGGGCCATGGTGTCCAGAGGGCGAGATGTTGCTGATGCGCCGAGCGGAGATGCGTCTCGTCAGGGGGAGTTTGGGACCGACTGCGCTGATGACATGGGCAGACGCGTTTGCGGTTGGGGTCGTATTTGGTCTACTTGATCCGTGGGTCCGTGAGCTGTGAGAGGTGTAGTGTTATGGCATTGTCAAATAAGGCGCGAGATGCGTTGCCTGGCAAGAATGACGGCGCGACTGTTGAACTTGAGGTGGACCCACTTCCCCAGCCCACCCCTTGGGCCTCGGCTTGTGGGGAAGGCATAGTAGCGGGCCTACATCGCCTCCGATTCGCCAGCCATCGGACTACTACGGATACTGGTAAAAGCATTCGAACATTGGTGCAAAATGTCACTGATTCGCATTTTCAGCGAATTACAAGCACCGCTCTTAATTATTGATGGATATTTCATGACTGGAGACAATGTGTCGAAGAACCTATGGCCAAGTCAAGGTGCATCAAAACACCTCCCAAAGACTGACTTTGCCATCCTTGGCCCCCGCAGCAACCCAATGCTTCATCTTTGTTTCGTTCTCGCGCTCCTGCCCACGTCTCTCGACACGTGTTTCTGGCTCTGAATCCTCTATTGCTAGGTCTTCTGGTGCCAATATTTCAGCAAATGCTACTGCATAGACACCTTCCTTGTGCCATTTGAGCACTGCGACTTCCTTGAGAGTTTTGCTACTATATATGCGGACGCGAGCATCCCAGCCTCCAGTGACAATGAGCCGACCGTCAGAGCGGACTTGGAGTGATTGTTGGCCAGCATGTTTGGTGTCTATGATTTTGTATGCAGGCTCTAATGTCACTGCCGACTGGACCGGCGGTGTAGGCTTGATGCGGGGAAGAGGCCCAGAGGACGACGATAGTAGAGATGATAAACCGCCTGGTTTGGGGGCTTCTGGTGTCTTTCCCTTGGCAGGCAACTTGGCAAACAAAGGTGGCGACTCGGAGGAGTCGACAGGCTGAGACACGTCTTCTATTGTCTCTGATAATCGACTCGCAGACGCTGATGGCGTCATGATAGTTTCATCTTCACCTACCTCATTGGCACCGAGAGTCAGCTCGGGCACACGATGCTTGACCAACTTGGCGTCAGCAGACGAAGTGAAGAAGAAGTCGCCATCCGGCGAAGCATCGAGTGACAGTACAGGCTGAGAATGGGGCTGGCTGAAGTAGATAAGCTCAGCAGAGCCGACGGAAGGGCGGGTGCGGTCGCCCGGGAGCTTGAAGGCTGCAGCGACGCCACCCTCGTACCCAGCAAGGAGCAAGATGTTTTGCGAGCGTTGATGGCGAAGCAACTTGACAGCCATGACCATTCCTAGGAGTTGTTAGCAACTCTTCTTGTAGTAGGACTACCACAATCACATATACCTGTGTCAGCTGTTTGCACGCGCGGAACTATGATTTGCAGGGTCTCATCCGGAAGGAGCCATACTTCAATCTGCTTGTCGTCTCTTCCCGGAACAGCTACGAGGATGGGATTAGGGCGTGTCTGGTCTGTGCGGGGCCGCGTGTACTGGCAGCACATGGAAAAAGCGCAGAAATTGAGGGTGTTGACAGGAAGCGAGTGGAGCAGCCATGGCAGCGGCTGCGTGTGGTGGTCGGAATCGGCAGGAAGAGCAATCTTGTCTGGCAGACGACCTTGTGGCCTCAGCTGCCATACTCGGAGGGTGTGGTCTCGACCATGACTGTGAGGCACACGTCAATGGGGTGACTTTTTGTTAAATGAGCGTATTTGGCAGGGACGAATAAGGGACGAGCAAGGGGCGTATGCGTGGTGCATGTGAGGGTGGATAACGAGAGCAGCGTACGTGAGGATGCGGTCGTGATCCCATTGGGCGAGGGCGAGAATGGGGCCCGCATGGGCCTTCCATACGTAGACGGCCCTCTTGGTAGCGAGACTCCAGTAGACGACGCAGCCATTGGCATCGCCAGTGAGCAGATAGGCGTTGCAGCGGACAAAGTGCACGCAATGGATCTGGGAAGCGTGGCCGCGGAGAATGCAGGTGGGCAGGGCGGGTGGCAGGGTGGACGAGTGTCGGGCGACAGCCATGAGTGGTAAGGGTAAGCTGAAGTGGTGGTCTTGGGCAAGACGGCGCGAGATGGGATCGGCGAGGCAGGACGAGTGGGGCAGACACAGCCAACGACGGGCGGGCCCATTTCGGCTGGACGGTCGAGGAGAAGGAGACCATGTCGAGCCCGAGACAGGCCAGGTAGTATTGACTGCATACCGCGAGCTGACGGCGGCCGATGCCGGTGTCACGAGAGCGACGTCATGAGGCTGGGGGCTGCCATCTGCAATCCTTCTGTACGTACATACTCATGTGCGTGCTTGTATAGATGCAGCCAAGTGCAATGCGTATCTACGTATCTGTGGGTGGAATACTTGGCTACCATCCCTCCCTGCCTGCCCAAAGCCCACCACTGCTTCTCACAACAAAGACCACTATCATTCAGAGGCGCAGATAAGCTAAGAATAACGAAACCAACTGTACGGTAAATCCAGAAGCGGGATAGCTGTATTTTAGCAATGCCCCCGCATGTCCCCTGCCGCACTAATCATGGCGGTTTTCGCCACCTGTGGCTCAGTCTTTCCAGTCAACCGTTTTCGTCCCACACTCTCATTGAATTCAGTACATCTCGACAAGGCCATGGCCAGAGCGGCTCAGCCGTCCTCTCTGTTGGCGTGATCAAGGCATTCCTCCATTCCTCAGGGCATAGATATATCAAATTTGGTCGCATGCAAACTCGCCCTTCGCTGGAATCTGACTCTGCATGCTGCACGTCTACCACGCCACACATTGGGGCTGAGCGTCCAGCCCCACCTGTCCTGAGCGAAGCTGTCCCTTCAAATCTCCGCTTGAACTGTCCCATGTTTAGAACCCAATCTTAGGTACAGTTGATGTTTTGCTTTGCTGCCATACCCGTTAATCTTGATGATTAGGCATGGTATTCTCGACCGACGAGTGAGTTGCCGTGCTCTCATCTCTCCATCCAGCCTGCAGCGTTTGAAATAGGCCATAACCCATCTGGCCCCCGTCCAACTCCGCGCCAAACAATGCGTCTTTTGCGACGCAGCAGCACTGGCGACTTCTGCCTCACCAAGGATCTGGTTGGCGATGAGACCATTCCTCCGTATGCGATACTTTCGCACACATGGGAAGCAGACACCGAGGTCACCTTTGCAGACATGACAGGTGGGGCTGGCAAGAGTAAGTTTGGCTATAGGAAGATCCAATTCTGTGGAGAACAAGCCAAACAAGACGACTTGCAATACTTTTGGATTGACACCTGTTGTATTGACAAGTCAAACCATGTTGAGCTCCAGGAGGCTATCAATTCCATGTTTCGCTGGTACCAGAACGCGGTGAAATGCTACGTCTATCTACCTGATGTTTCGACAGCAAGGCCGAACGCAAGCTATGAATTCTCCGAGTTTACCTGGGAGTCGTCTTTCCCGGAAAGCAGATGGTTTACCCGGGGTTGGACCCTTCAAGAGCTTCTTGCCCCGCCTTCAGTCGAATTCTTCTCCCAAGAAGGTACACGTCTAGGTGATAAGAGATCGCTAGAGCGGCAAATTCACGAGATAACGGGAATTGCTACCCTGGCCCTTAGAGGAGCCCCGTTAGAGGATTTCAGTATTGAGGAGCGATTATCGTGGGCAAAAAGCCGTCGGACCACGCGCAAAGAGGATAAGGCGTACTCGCTACTGGGTATATTTGGGATCTATATGCCGCTCATCTATGGTGAAGGCGAAGATCACGCATTCAGACGGCTCCAGGAAGAGATCAACAAGCCTTTAAACGGCCTGCAACGGAAAAAGGATTCGCCTTGTATTGTAGACGCATCCACCACCACCATCCAACTCATCAATGCCGCATCGACATCGATATCCTCCTTTGTACGATCTGTCCGCGAATCTCGGCCGGATCTCAACATTGTCGAAAATGAACTCCAGTCTATCAAGAGGACGCTTGAGCTGCTTCGCGAAGATCTCGACACGGAATCCGGTAGCGAAGCGTCACCATCACTTCCCATCTCGTTTAAGAAACAAATCTTGGGAATTATAGACTGTTGTGCTACCACAATCAAGCAGATTCCAGAATCCCTTGAAAAGTCTCGCATCCTTCTGGCCAAGTCGGTCGCTGGCCAAGTCAGATGGGCCAACAACGGAAAACTAGACATCCAAAGACATCAGTCCGTGCTCGAGTCCAACAGACGTGCATTGGATATTGCGGTTGACCTGCTTTCCTGGACAATGACAAGAGAAGCTAAGGACACAACTGTCATCCGAGATGATACTTCTCACATCAGGCAAGATACGGTGCGAATCCTGGAAGAAATAGCCAGGCTACAGGAGCAACTACCTCGAGATCTGGCGCAACCTAGAGATGAGCGCGGAATTGTACTAGACAGATATCTGGAAAGCCTGACCTCGTACACCGAAACACTCAATGACGAAATTGACGCCGACTGGGACAATATCAGCAACGACGACTTGTCCAAATGTGATGGGGATGCACGGCCAAACGATCTGGTTACCCCCCAGCCTTGTCAAGCCCAACTTCCCTTGCCCCCTTTGAGCAATCAGGCCCACACAGGCGCGTTGGAGAGTCTTCAAAAAATGGGCTTTAGAGGGCAATATTCCAGCCTTCCCAAAAGCTTCCTCCTTGCAGTCAATAACCGGATTTCAAGAGAGCAATTCGTCCAACTGCGAACAGAGACAGTGCCGTTCAAGAAATCCGCGCCGTTGCTTTTCATCGGGGCCTTTCTCTTCCCGGGGACAATCCGCGCCGTCACCCAGCGCATGTCACTCGGCGACATTGTGCAGAATATGACGCCAGCGGTGCTCCGTGGATATCAACGGCGTGCAGTCAAGGGCGCGGTGTATCCAGCGCTTATCCCGAGTCGCGATCCGCATGTTGAGACGACAGGAATGATGATATTTGGGCTGAACGGTGCGGATCGGAAGGCAATGGACGCTTTCCAGGGGGGCATGTACGATTTGAGCCGGGTGACGGTGGAGATTGAAGTCGAGGATGGGACCAAGGAGTTCCATGAGGCTTTGGCATATATTTGGAATGGGCCATCGACGCAGCTTGTTCCGGTGGAAGACATGTCTTGGTCGCCGTTTGATATGCTCCGTGATAAATGGTTGTCTGGGATACACAAGTTGGTAGAACACGAGGAGGCAGCGCTTTAGCTTGACACTGCCAGAAGAGCCATCTGTCATCAGAAAGGCTTGTACTGGAATCCACAGTCTACCGAGAAGAGTAGGAAATGTTGTCACATAAAAAGATAATAGTCTCCAATTGACGAGACAAGCAGGCAACCCGCTCATCCTACTTGGGGCGTTAGTCTTGGAAAGCATTGCATGTCCCTCAGCATGTCGAGCAAGTTGGGGGGCTTTGGGCATTGCGGCTGGGAGGCTTGCATATGGGTGAGTGGCTCAGCGCCAAGGTGTGGCTTGGACGTAAGTTACGTTGAGCCATGATGTCAGCATTGCTAGAATACCACTAGGCTCTTGTCGGCATTTTGGTACAGAGCCGAGAAGCGACTACCAAGGCTGAAGCAGGAAGAGAGGTTTGCAAGCGTATTGACGCGTTTTGCCAGGCGGTCACGCTGTTGCGATGGCGAGCGAGAGGAGCTTAGTGGGTGCTGGGCATGTACCCAAGTAGATACATGCGCAGATGGATACAAGTAGTGGCCACGGGTTGCCGATGGATGGATGCCGGGATCTCGTATTGCGACGAGCTTATTTGCAGCTGTCTGCAAGATTAGACGAGGCCTGCTCCCTGCACCGCCACGGAGCCGCCGAGGGGCGTGATCATGGCCAGGTCTCCGCGGGTCCGACACATGCTTGTTGTTGTTGTGTTGCCCTTTGTTCGCTCCTCAGGCGGGACGGCACGCACACGACGCCCTCGCACTCGCACTCGCACCGCGCACCTCGCACGCCGCCCGTCCAGCCAGCGCGGCCGGCGCCAATGCTCTCGCTGAACAGCTGCGCCCACGCACATCACACGCAGTCTGCGTTGCCCGCCCTGCCCCTCGCTTCATGGGCCCTCGCCTCGCCTCAACCTGCCCCTCGCAGGCCCCGGCAGCCACGGCGCCCCCATGCCATCGCCCGCCCTCCCTATTCCCCGTCGTCGCTCGCCCGCCCGCCCAGCGCCCATCCAATATTCGAGCCGTCTGACGCCTTGGCCCTAGTCGACATTCATATTCGTTTCTTTCCTTCTTCCTTCCTGGACGCCGCCTCCGTTTTGCTTCTGCTCTGCTCTCCCCCGGCTCCGTGTTCCAGACTCGCGCCCGACACACACCTCTCCCCCCCTCCGCTCCCATTCCAGACCATTGCCCTCCGTCTGCGCCCTCCAACCGTGCGCCCTTGGCTCGACATCTTGCCAGTCCACCCCGACTCCCAAAACCCCCCCTCCAACCCCACAGGCACAACAACCACATCCACAAGCACAAACGTGGAGGGGTTCAAGTAGTCGCTTCGCTGCACGCCCTACGCCAGGGTCGTGGTGGCCTCACGCCCAGCAGCCCCCCTGTACAGCGACCATCCTCGAACCGGCTCGGTGCGCAACAGCAGCGGCACCATGGCAGACACGGCTACGCCCCCTTCCAACAACGACTCTCCCACCAACAAGACGCTGCCCACCAGGAAACGAGCGAGCGACACGACTGTCGACGACCGGCCAAAGCGCACGCGCACCGGCTGCTTGACGTGCAGAGAGCGCCATCTCAAGTGCGACGAGACCAAGCCCACCTGCAACAACTGCCTCAAATCCCAGCGAGAATGCAATTGGGGCAAGAAGCTCAACTTCCTCGACACCACCTGCGAGCGAAATGCATATCTGATCCCCCAGGGCATCGACTACCAAGTCGCCTTCATGGACGAGTCTCGCACAATCGCCTCCGAATACGTCGGCGGCCGAGAAATGTATCCCGTTGAGGAAATGGAGTCTCACATGCCCATGGCCGACAATGCCTTTGGCATGGCCCCACCCCCTGCCTCGCGTCAACACCTCCCACCAATGCAAGGCATCGCCCATGACTCGTACCAACAAGCCCAACTCAACTACAACCTGGAGCAGCACCGCACACAGCATCAACACGGACGCACAAGTGAGCTCATCCACAGTTTCTGAACAGAAACAAGCCATTTGTTAACTTGCATAGTATCCAGTTACTCAAACGGCCCAACTCCCTCCTCATACTCCATGGAACACTCGGCTAGCCCGGGTCCCCTTCCCACACGCGACTATCTCAAAAGCCAAGAGGAGGTGCTGTACATGCAAGTCTTTGTTGAAGAGATTGGTATCTGGATGGATAGCATGGATGCACACAAGCACTTTTCACGTCTACTGCCCTTCCACGCCCTCAACGAACCCATGTTGCTGCACGCTTTCCTTGCATGTGGTGCACGACATCTTGCCCTTGTCAACCCAAAGTACAGCGAGGAAAAGGCCCTGCATTACTATGATGTAGCCACGCGCGATCTGCTGCATTCCCTGCAGAACCCCGATCGTGACACCGTTCTATGTGCGACCACTGCTGTCATCCTGAACGTATACGAAATCATGGCCGAGCGCGCACTACAACGCATGAACCACATTGCCGGCGCCCGCGCCCTGATCAAGGAGTGCCGCTGGAATGCAAGGTCTACAGGCATTGGTGCAGCGTGTTTCTGGCTCAACGTAGGCATGGAGATTCTGAGCTGTTTGCATTTCAACTGGCAGGTTGCGTGGGACCCAGACGACTGGGGCATCGAAATGGATTTTACCCCAGAGACTGAATCGGGAAGAGAAGAAGTTTGGACACACCGGATTTTGTACATTGTCGCTAGGATATGCAACTTCCGCGCCTCAATACCACGCAACCAAGATATCGCCAGGCAGACATTGCATGACCGTCACAACGAATGGCTGCGGCTCAAGGAAATGACCGACAGATGGAATGAAAACATCCCTCGGACTATGCACCCAATGGCCTACCTGTACCCTGGACAAACCATTTCCGGTTCCGCATTTCCAGAAGTTTGGTTGATTAAACGAGCATCCATCATCGCGCGCTTATTCTACCATACATCCTTGGTTTTGTTAGCCCAAATCAACCCCGTACAAGCAGCCAGCGAACCGGAAATGTGGGCCATGCTCGAGCAGAACTCAAAGTTCATCTGCGGTATTAGCGCGCATGTCAAAGATCGTGGCGTCGCTAGCGTGGCGCTAAGATCACTTGCCATCGCTGCCGAGCCTCTGACCGACCGCCGCGAGCAAGAAGAGGTTCTCCAAATCTTTGATAAGATCAGACAGGAGACTGGGTGGCGGGTGGGCTTTGTCAATACAGAGTTGAAACAAAAATGGGGTTGGGACACACCACAGAACCAAGATCAATCGCAACAACAGCCGCTGCCGCCGCCGCCTCCTCCTCAGCAGCAGCAGCAACTCAACGGCCAGATACAAGACGGCAACGTCATGTATCAGCAGCAACCGCAAATGGTAGTTCAGCAAATGTCCCAGGTCTCTCTAGCGCCTGTGCCAGCCCCGGCTCCCGCCCCAGCACCTCGAAGGCCACCAACAGGCTTTGGGAATCCTCTTCTTGTCGCAGATTTTAGTATGCCCCAACATCCTTACCAGGCACATTATGTTCCAGCCAATATCGTCCAACAGCAGCAGCCCCCAACACTTCTCCAGCCGCCACTCAACGGAGTCAACGGCTACGGCGCTCATTTCTTCTAATACGTTCTTGCCGTCCCCAGACGCTGCGACTGCGCCTCGTCATCTCTCTTCGTATACCAGTGTATTACTGTCACTCTATTTACTTGATGAAAGTTTCTTGCATGTACAAAAAAGCGACTAAAAACGTACAAAGGCGGCATTGTTTGCGCTATCTTCTGGGTTCTACACGTCTACTTTGCGGCCTCTGTCCGAGGACGGTTGTTTACTTGTTTCCGTTGTAACGACATAATGAGCAGATTTGTATGGGATTGATTCGATTGCTCGTAGAGCCGATCTTGAGACTATTGTCGTTTTTTTTTTGCTATTTGGCATTGGGTTGGGTCAGAAATGTAGCCTGGCGAGATTTCGATTCTTGTAAATATACACATTTACCTTGCTTTACACCCGTTATGGTGTCCAAGTTTAAAAGGAGAGATGCTCCGTAGATACAAACACGCATCCTATTAGCAAGTCTTGTTCTTGACTCGCTTGTCCCCCGCTTCTTTTCCCCATCTTTGTCCTTCTTCTCCGTCCAGACTCGTCTTGCTTGATTGTCTTGACAGCACGTATAGTTCAGTGCCATGCGAGCACCAGCACCTCAATGATGGCTGCAACATGAAGAGATCATCAAGCATGACCGAATACCTGCCATGGAAGTACTCGCGCGGCATGTTTCTCCCATTGAACCCCTCTCGTACGGCTGACTTGGTTTATCCAACATTGCCACAACAATGCAGCTGCTTTAGAGTCATATCGGAGAGCATTCTGGCCCTCTAATACAAGGACAGTCACACACACACACCCCATTGCTTCCTCGTTTGTTTCCGCACGAATACCACACTCACTTCCACACTATCCCACTCGCCCATCTCTCTCTTCCATTTACACATCTTATCCATCCAATCGTCTTCGCGCCGAATTTTTGGGGGGGGGGAAACAGACCGTGGTATTAAGAAGAAGAAGAAGAAGAAGAAGAAGAAGAAGAAGAAGAAGAAGAAGAAGAAGAAGAAGAAGAAGAAAAGAGCATGCACATGCATATCTTGTCTTCATTGGTTGTAGGTAGTCTTGCTTGTGTTGCATCGTCATTGGAACACCGAGATTGTGCTTACGGCTGCATGGGACAATAGTAGTACGTCACCAGCGAACGACTGGGCCGAAATTACTGCGAGCAATGCGCAAATCACAACGTGAGAATCACAATCCTTTGTTGTTACCATCACAATGATCAAGTACTGCACTGTTATACAGTGCCTGAAGCTACTCAGATATAGGAACATTTCTCATTCTTGTCATCAAACCAATATATACAGTACGCTTGCTCAACAATCGCCAAACCCCCGTCACCCTTGGAACGCTTACTTGGATGTGTCGAGAACATAACGTCCGACTACGGCACCCTGGTGCATCTTGTCATAGACCATTTGCAGGTCAGATAGTCCAACAATCTTGTACGGAGCCTTGATCAAGCCACGACGGAAGAATTCAATCGCCTCTGAGCTGTCCTTGCGGTTGCCAACATACGATCCCTGGATCCTGATCATCTTGATAACAGTCTCGAAGACGGGTGCCTTGAGGTAAGCGCCGGCAGGAAGACCAATGCAGATGACAGTACCGCGTGGTCGGACGTATTCAGCAGCCTGTTGGAATGGCTTCTCGTTGACAGCGACAAGAATGACAACATGAGGACCGAGACCATCGGGCGTTGCCTTTTGTACGTCGGCGACAAGGTTCTTTGATGTAGCAAAGTCGACGAATGCTTCGGCGCCAAGGTCTTCAGTGCACATCTTCTTCTTCTCCTCGCCAGAGTCAATGGCAATTGTTCGTACACCCATGGCCTTTGCGTATTGACAGGCGAGCGAACCAAGACCACCTCCGGCACCGACAATGGCAGCGAATTGGCCAGGCTTGACACCAGACTCTTTCAGACCCTTGTAAACAGTAATTCCGGCGCAGAGAACAGGAGCAATTGCAGCAAGATCACATTCCTTGGGAATGCGGGCAACGTGGGCAGCTTTGGCGATGCAGTATTGCTGGAAGGTGCCGTCGACAGTGTATCCAGAGAGAAGTGGTTTCGGGCAGAGGGGCTCGTCTGCTTGTTGGCAAAAGTCGCATGACAGGCAAGAACCGTTCAGCCATTTGACGCCTGGGTAGTGTTAGCAAGTGTGAATTGGGACTAAAGTGAGAGGAATTAACCATACCGACATGATCGCCAAGCTCAACGTCGTTGACAAGCTCTCCTCGTGCAACTACGACACCGGCACCTTCGTGGCCACCGACAAGAGGAAGTTTGGTTGGCTAGTGGACGTTAGCATCTTCAACGGGAAGAAAAACGGGTCGTACTTACCAATGGCCAGTCACCATTGACAGCGTGTAGATCAGTGTGGCAGACACCAGAGTATTTGATGTTGACAAGAACCTCATCTGGGCCGGGCTTCTGCACTGGAATCTTCTTGTACTCGACAGGACCGCCGGTCTTTTCAATGACCTGCGCCCACTGCTCTTGTGGAATGCTGCTCATGGTGATGGAGGCGGCGGATTGTTGTGAAATAGAGTAGCTGGTGGTGATGTGATTGTGTTGGATGACTACAGTATCACGGAGGGTGCAAGCTTTATATACTCAGTGGTAAGACAGCGAGGGCTCAAGAGGTCAACCCCACCGGGCAGCAAACGGATGACGCCAGGGTCCGGATACAAACGCGCCCTGTCGGAAGGGGCTGTGTGAAGGATTGCGTCCGTTCACCCACGGCAAAGGCGAGCGTCTTGCTCGGCGCGCCGGAGGCGGGCAACTGAAGACTAGCCATGTCCATTGGCCCAGTCTCGCGAGGTACAAGTGGACAGTGGACCTCTTGGAGGGGTCAAAAGATCAAGATTGGATGGACATGCGGATCATGATGCATCGGTTGAGTGGCAGTAGCAGTAGCGTGAGGTGCGAGGTTCCGAGGTCAGAGCAAAGTCAGCATGAGCAGACTTTAGCGCGTGTAAATCAGCCCAGGGGCCAGGGCAGATGCAAGCCCGCGTCTGTTATGGTGTGAGGGGGACTGCGAAGGGCGAGGTCTCGAGATGGAGGGGCGCTCCAACACCAAGCAGCTAGCTTCTTTGGGCAGAATATCTCCTGATACTTGCTACCCTCCGTCCACGGCCGCGCCATACAAAAAAACTCGAGCGCAAATTGTCCTGTCCTGCGGTCTCTTTCAGGCTCCGTACCAGTGCTCAGTAATTCGCTGAGCTCACAATGGCCTTTCGATCGTATGCTCCCATGGACGGCCGCAATCCGGTCCCTCTGTGGCTATCTTCGCCTGACAGCTACACTACCAGTTCCGCGGGAGCCCATGTGAGAAGAAAATCGACATGAATCGAAGGGATAATCAAGCATTCCAACTGGGTCGGTCGAGCGCAAAGTTCAACGCTATTCACAATGTGCGCAAGCTCTTCAGCCACACGTAGCCTTGCATACGTATGTTCCACTCCAGGAAGTACCACGGCGCAGCCGTCCAATGAGATCATCCAATACTACCTTCGGACAGTTCCACCGCATGCGGCTCCTGGTCTACGATGCGGGGGTGTTGAGGTCCGACTACCATGGTCGTAGTGCGGCCGCAATCGCGGGGTAGTGCGCGGAACACTGCCCACCGGCCTTTGCCAACGACCGTTCAAGGCTGCGGAGAAATGGACGTCAAGCAATTGACAAGGAACCGAACATCGCTGTCGACGGGAGACGGCCTGATTCCAAAAGATCTCCGAGGCCAGTCTTCGATCTTGCCTGCGAGCACAACACTGTCGTCAGATGGAGAGGTTACGGTCATTTTGTCCTCTGCAGACGGGGCATACAAGGCCCCTCTTTATCTTCCTGTCTGCGTGAGAACCCTGATGTATACTTGAGAACCTCTGCGACGTGATAGGGCCACTGTATGCTACGCACTGGCATGTGTTAAACATGGGCTATTCTTGGCGAAGAGCATCATACGTACAACTCCCAACTCCCACCTTACGGGCGCTAGACAGCCAAACAACTCTAACTGCCATCACGCATGACGACATACTACAGCAGGTTGGGGAAAGCACAATGACAATCAAGAATCAAGGCTTGTATTACAGATACAAAGCTCCGTGTTACCGGAACTTTACCGTGGCATCATAGCCGAGTCCAGGTCTCTATACTCCTTGTCGCTCCTCCCAAACCATATCGTTTATTGCAATGCATGACCCGATCCAGACATTATAGTCCACAAGTGAAGAGACGCTCAGCGCCAATACTTCTACTGCACCATCACATCAGCAGCCTCATTGTGCCCGTTGGCCGGCCTCTCGTCGGCGTCTTGCAACCCAAGAGGAAGGGAGGGGGGAAGATCCTTTCCGGCTGCCCGTGCCTTTGTCTCGGCCCATTGCCGTAAGCGCACTAGGCTCCTCATGCGAGATTCTCCGCGAGCTCCCATACTAGTAAGTATCGCTTCATTGACCTTACTCGCAACATTCCTACGGAGAGACGGTTCCAGCAACTCACTAAGCTCCCTCTGAAGAGTACCAGGAGCCGCAGGAAGAAATATAAGCAACGACATTGTAAGCTCAAGATCCCTCAGAAAATCAGGGTTTGTAGCTGCACGGGGAGCAAGCTGGGACGAAGCAAAGCTAAGCGCAGGCGTGATATCAGAAGCAGCAGACGATGTGCACACCCGGATGAGCTCAATCAGCTGTAACCTAAGTAGGTCGAAGTGCAAGGCTGGGTCTGTGTCTAAGATCTGGCTGGTGCATTAGCAAGGTTCAGTGACAAATACGCCAGACGAGTAAATGTAGTTGCTTGCAATCATACTGAGGACTGAAGGTTTGATTATCATCAAAGAGATTCTGCGTGGTGCATGAAACTGTATCTAATCCTGCAAGGTGGTGGGAAATATAAGTGGAAGTGTTGCATACCTGAGGATTCAAATCATTAATCTTGGTGATAGCGGTATCGATATCACCAGCATGAATAGCCCGACGTATTTCTACGCGGGATTGGATGGACTCCTCTTCAAGAGGAAGCTGGATGTTCGCTTCTTTTGCAAACTTTTCTGCAGCTCTAGGATAGCCTTCACTAACGAGGTAGTCCATAATGACAAAGTTGATGTCCCTGCAGAAGCAGCGTTAGCATTGATGCGCCATTTACATGCAAGTACAGCAGCGCGCGATGCAAGCGCTACCACAAGATCAGAGATACAAGTTAACATGTTCTCCACACGTTGGTTCGGAGAGATTCCCAACTTATTTTGAAATCATCATTCGAAGGAGGTAGCGGAAGCGACGCGGACGGTGGATGACTTACGTCTTGGACGGTTTGACATCGTCGACCTTCCTCTGGAAAGGATGATGTTGGGTTGGCGTTGCCGCCGACACGGAAACTGTGGATGAGCTCTGCAGGGCGGTTAGATGGTGGGACAGGTCGCAACAACGGGCGCAGTTTGAGTGTAGCTTACCATGGTGAAGCGAGACGCCCAGCAAGCCTCAGCCGACGTCCATCAGTAAATGATACGAGCTGCCCGACCGTTGGTCGAGTGTGCTGGCGGCCACGCAAAGTTTTGCGTGTGGAGAGGAAGTTTGAGAGCACAGCTTGGTGAAAGAAGAAGACTGAGCTTGCGCGCTTGGCGAGACTAGTGCCGGTGGGGTCCTTATGTAAGCTTGACACTAAGGTCAGAGCCACCCACTGCAGAAACCCATTCGTCTCAAGAACCCTGCATACCCTTTTGATATCTCCAGCATTCGCCGCAAGAGGAGGGATTTTTGTAGAAAAAGGATACGGGGTGCTACTAAGCGTTCAGCACGCTAAAAGATTCTCAGATATGGCTTCAGCAGGCCGAAGAACGCACTACGAACCGCCATGGGGTAACGCGAGTATCATTGGAGTAGCTGGTAGTTCTGGCTCGGGCAAAACATCTTTGGCAATGGCCATTGTCTCCTCCTTGAACTTGCCTTGGGTAGTTATCTTATCTATGGTTCGTTCCAGCCTTGTAAATTGGGTCACGTGCCCCGCCCAGCTAAGGAACACTCCATGTAGGACTCGTTCTACAAACCTCTTACGCCAGAGCAATCTGCAGCAGCATTTCGCAACGAGTTCGATTTTGATTCTCCCGACGCTATAGACTTCGACATTCTCGTTGACCGCCTAAAAGACATCAAGAATGGCAAGGTTGCCGAGGTACCAATCTACTCTTTCCAGAAGCACGCTCGCCTCCCCAAGACTACAACCATCTACTCCCCGCACGTCATAATTCTGGAAGGCATATTCGCCTTACATGACCCACGGATAGTCGATCTCTTGGACCTCAAAATCTTTGCGGAAGCCGACGCTGATCTGTGTCTCTCACGCCGCCTTGTGCGAGATGTGAAAGAACGAGGCCGCGATATTGAAGGCTGTATCAAGCAGTGGTTCTCCTTTGTCAAGCCCAACTATTACAAATATGTTGCTCCCCAGCGAGAAATTGCAGACCTCATTATTCCAAGAGGTATTGAGAATCGGGTTGCCATTACTATGGTGAGCAATCAAGTTCGTCAGACGCTGCATAGTAAGAGTGTTCAGCATCAGTCAGAGCTCAGACGACTGGGCAAGATTGCAGAAGACAGTCCGCTGAGTGAGAATGCTATCGTACTCAAGCAGACGAATCAGGTCAGAGGAATGCATACATTGCTGCTGAACCCTGAAACGTCGAGAGAGGACTTTGTATTTTACTTCGATCGCATGGTTGCACTGCTTGTCGAGACAGCAGTGGACTTTTTACCATTTGTATCCTATGAGGTTACAACACCCCAGAACACCACTTATCAGGGATTGAAGAAGAATGCAGAAGTCAGTGCCGTGGTGGTGCTACGCGGCGGCAGTGCTTTCGAGACGGGTTTGCGGCGGACCATTCCTGATTGCAGGACCGGACGAGTACTAATCCAGACAAACTACAGAACTGGAGAGCCAGAGCTCCATTACCGGGCGTTACCCACCAACATTGCTGAGCATGGACTGGTCTTAATCCTCGACCCTCAATTCTCCACAGGCGCAGCCGCACTGATGGCGGTCAGAGTGCTTGTCGACCACGGCGTACCAGAAGCCAGAATAGTCTTCGTAACCTATACTGCGGGGAAGGTTGGGCTGAACAGGGTCTTAAGTGTCTTTCCAGATATCAGAATTGTGGTTGCAAGACTGGGTAGCGACGAGGAGGCGCGATGGGTTGAGACAAAATATTTGGGCTGTTGAAGCGAGAGCACCAGACTACAATAACGAGGTGTTTGAGATTACGCATTTTCTTTGCTTGTAAATGATTTCATGCTGTGCTAGAACGTACATAGCCAACATGTCTTTGTCCGAACGCCGTGTCTATCGCCAACGCCGATAAATGCAAGGTTAGCGTTGAAGCAACAACGCACCGCTATGTACAATGGGTATCATAGAAAGTACTCCGTCGTGACTTCTTTTCCTTGCTGCTGCTGCTGCTCAGCCCGGTGGACATCGTTATCCGGACTGGCATCAAACACGTTGAAAAAGCGTTCGCCCGTGTCGCTAACTTCGAGCACACTAGCCATGTTACCGCACCGGTAGCAGTAGTTTGGTGCACTCCAAACAGTGCTTAGTCTGTCGTCGTAAAGAATCTGGTAGCCTTCTTGGCACAACTGATGCGCGCGCAGAATGTGCGACATGGAGTTGACTTCCAAGAACTTTTTGACCACCTGAGCGCCGAATGTATAGCCTGCTCCTCTGGGGCTGAGGGAGAACTCATCTCTTTCGGGATCTGGATCGCTCCATACAAGATCTGCCATGGGCCCTTCATGAGGGATTTCCCGGAAACGGTCGATGATTTTGATCTGGTCGATGGAGTGTATGGAAGGCGATAGGCCACCGTGTACGCAGAAGATTTGGTCATTGATGACCACGGAGAGAGTGAGAAAGTCGAACATGTCGGTAAAATAGTGCCAGACGTTTGCATTGCCATATTTGCGTGAGCATTCGGTGTAGAAGCCGTAAGACTGGGTGACGCCTCGAGACTCGTGGTTGCCACGGATAAGGTGGACACGGTGCGGATAGCGGAGTTTCAGACAGACGAGGAGTGATATGGTTTCGACGGAAAAGAGTCCGCGATCGACGTAATCGCCTGTTCAGCGTCAGTTCTGTCTCTAGAGACCGCGTGCCCCCCCTATGAGGGGCAGACCAGGACTTACCCAAGAAGAGGTAGTTTGTGTCCGGACATGGCCCACCAATCTTGAATATCTCCATCATATCGAAAAACTGGCCATGGATATCACCAACGACAGTGACAGGCGCTCTAATGTGCACCACGTTGCTCTCCTTCATGAGCAACTCCTTGGTCTTTGCGCATATTGCCTCGATGACCGGCTCGGCCAGCAGTTCCTTCTTGGAAAGCCGAGATATGCATTCATCGAGGTCTACGCTAGCTGCGCAGCGTTAGTCTGAGTGTGGCGAGCACGGCAAGCATCGCTGGTGACTGACGTACATGGTAGACCGGGCATGGTGGTGTTGATGGCGTGGATACAAGGGTGGCAGCATCCGCGGCTCAGTTCAGGGTATGGAGTCTATACTGGTCGCTAGCAAATGTCTGTAGCGCACAATCATCCTCAGAGGTCCATCTGGAGGCGCGATACAGGTAATGGCGCAAAAGCGAGCAACTTGATATTGGGGGGGGGGGGTGGCCAACTCGCCGTGTTCCCTGTCCAAGGTGCGGCGGCATCCCGCTTCGTGGCCCGAGCGCATAAAAACGTGACTACGCTGCAAACTTCCCTCTTCCGCAACATCTGCTGTGCGTGTTTTTTTCAGAACCTACGGGGCATTTGGCTCTCTGGTGCCCGGACCTCTCTTTCCTTGTTATGCCTTATAGATCTGAGAGGATACTCCTCTGCGGCACTCTCAATTCGCCACTTACCTGCTATCGTGCTCTCAATACCTACTCCAAGGGTTTCCCTCGCACCAGCAACTGGCCCTGTCTCGCTCTCCGTGCCCACTCACTTGCTCCTCCTCAGCGTCACATTGCCGTCGTTCTTCCTACAAATCTCAACATTGCATACCAGGAGATACTAAATTGATTACCCTTCCGTAAGCTTGGGCGTCTCTTTCGTCCTGGCTCGTGCGCTCAACCTGTCCAAAATTTGGACGCGCGCCTCATACTTTAAAAACTCTCCCTAATATCACCACCTACGCCGCCACCAACGGGCTCATCGGTTCCCATTAGTCTTTTACTCCACCGAAAACCCTCCATTTCCATCGTGGATTTTCATAAGTTGATTGCGTAGCGTGGTATGTCTTGGAACGGGCCCGTAGGGGGTGCGGCGCCTTTCCAGCAGCAACCATATACAAATGGCCCACCCCCGTATGGTCAACAACCGCCCTATCAGTATGGACAACAACCAGGACAACAACCGAGATACGGCCAATATCAATCGGGGGCTTCCTATCCACCAAATGGCCCCCCTAATCGTGCTCCGCATGTGCAGTAGGTCTCACTCCTGATCTTAGCAAGCTGTTCATCACGTGCTCGTTGAATCTGTCTTTTTATGGTGTGCGTCATTTGTTCTGACTCCCTTTCAGGCCACCAAAGAAAAAGGGTAACCCAATAATCACCCGTTATCCCCCTCCACCGGGCTACCGCGGACCAGCGCAACCTCAGGGTCCGTTCGGTACTAGCAAATTCCCTAACTCATACAAGCCGTCGCATACAGGGTTTCCGCCATCGTCGGCGCCTTCAAACTACCCGCAACAAAGTTATGCAGCACCTCCTGCAAACCAAAGTTATTCTAACCAAAGCTACGGTCAGCAAGCGCACCAAGCACCAGGATTTGCACCGCCGTATCCTCAAACAGAGAACGGCTATCAATGGTCAAAATCAAGTTATCCTCCAAATTCAGGCTATTCGCAAAATTCAATTCACCCAACTGCTCAACCTTATGCTTATTCTCATAGCAGCTACCAGGGTTACCCATCGCAGCCTGCTACAGTTGATTCTGGTCATCCGTCGTATGGCAAAACTGGAGCATGGTCACAACAGTATGCGCAAGCACCTTACCAGTCAAACCAACACAGTTCCTTCAGTGGGCAAACCCACGGCCAGCCTGTTTTGGATCCGGAGGCCACACCCACCCCAGCAACTGCCCACCTCACCACTTCACAGCCCCCGCAGCAACCCGTTCAGCCCAGCAGTGTTGTAAGCGATGGAAGTATGAGCGACAGGCCACAGTTGTTCTTGGCATGGGACGACTGGGATTTTGACTTTGATGGCGCGATCTGGCCCAAGAGCAATGAACCCGTCGATCCTGCTCTCAGCCTTGGAGTCATCATCTGGCACCCTGCTAAACAGGTTACTCGTGCACTACCCTCTACTTTTGCTGAGGCTGAGGAAGACGCACTGAAGCCTACGCCTGAGAAGCTCGACAATGGGGATTCGGTGTCCATGTACTTCACTGCCGATAATTCGCACGAAGCCTTCCTTAACGTAAGGCAGACTGACGATTGGGAAGCTATCCAGGATGACCCTGTTTTTGTTGTTTTCACGGATGAAGACATGCAGAACAATCTAGTCACACTAGAAGACTGCATCGCGCAGCGGGATCGTCCTGACGAACCTGAGGACATGACAACGCATGATGGAGATATGGAGATGCGCGACGCCACTTGGGACATTATGGATAACCTTGAGCAAGCACTTAGTACGAATCACGGAGGTTCAACGTCGAGCGCATCGAAAACGGAGGCGGTGTCTCCTCTACAAGGAAGTCAAGAGGATATTCTTGCGAAGTTGGGCGTGACTGGAGCCCCGAAGCCGCCGTCGAATGAACCAATACTTGTACCGTACTCTCCATCTGAAGTACGGCAACCAGTGCTACCTGTCGAGAAGCCCTCGGCTGCTCCTTCACCTGCTCCGCTCCGAGACTCTGCTCAACCAATCCAACGGGCACAGTCGTATGGTGGTCATCGCAACAGTGGGCCTAGGTCTGCTCCTCCCCGTCCGTATGGATCTATGTCAGCAGGCGCTGGCTCCAGGCCACCGCCCCCTCCACCCGCTCCGGCAGAGCAGCGACATGAATCCTGGAATGCGCCTCAAAGTAATGGCCACAGTTATGACAACCCCAGAGAGAGTCCTGCGCGCTCTGAGGGGAGCAATCGGACCATGGCTGGTTCTGATTTTGAGCCAGAAAGCCGGGGTAATGAGTCACAACAAGATGCGCCTGTTGTACCATCCCTAGATCGAAGCGACAGCTCATTCTCTAGGAAGAGAAGCTACGAAGATACTGATCAAGAACATGAGAAATTGCGCCAGCAAGACGACCATAGCAAGCGGAAGAGGCGCTCCCAGGTTGATGCCGCTTACAGGTAAGGCTTCTTGACATCAATGACGTTCATCTCGTTTGTTTATGGCAAATCCTTACTAATCTTGTAGTCGTCGGTGAGCACGCATTCACGAATCCAGAGCCTGGGCCTCATCCCCCATAATTATTCTTCGTCACACCTTGATTTACCTTCTACGCCATTTCTGACATCCATGGACCCTCTTCTTTATTTTCGTTTCTGCAACCACGGCCTTGTTCATGATCCACGAGAGCTTTTCATCTTCCCTTGTCTCATACGTCAGGACCATTCACCAATTATTGTTTATTCTTCTGCAAGCTTGCTTTCAATTCTCTATCAATCCGATTCATGGCTTCATACTGCAATTTTGTTTCCAAATGTCGATCAACAGTGTACGCCAGAATGGGTCATTCACGGGTACCGGCGTTCTTCGCGCTTTATTTGTTGTCTTGAACTTGTCCATTAACTTTCTGTTCTTACCATTATCATTATTATTACTATTACCACGATTATCACTGTCGTTTCTTTTTTCAGGGTAACTCATTTCACGATTGTCTTCCACAAGAATCCACTTCTGATTTCATTCGATCTGGTGGTCTGGACTTCAAGTGTTCAGTCTCTCAGCTCACTTGTTCTATTTTACAGAATTCTTGCCCAGTTTACTGATTGTTCAGTTTATCTTCTTACGAACCTTTTTACGAATCCCCCAACTTTTGGTTTCTTGAAGGTTTCAGTTCTTTTGTTTATTTCTTCTTCTCAGGTCACTTCCAAGCACGGATATCTTGATATCATGATTGAGACATCTGCTTCTACTGCAGTGGTCACTTGCAAGCACAATGACCAGGTATTCGGTACGTCAGAGTAACGTATCTGGAGTATACCAGCGTCAGCGATTCCTCATTCGATACGTGATAGGTTGTTGAAGCACTGCCTGTTCGCGCAAAGACACAATGCGCCAAATGAAAGCCTAATACTTTGGCAAGAACGATTGCTTTTCAGCCTCTACTGCAAGCAGCGCTTAAATTAGCGACTAAGTGCTTGCAGGCAGCTTTAGGCATTGACGATTTAGCTATACATGGCTGCTGTTGCTATACGTGTCGAATCTAAGGGCTGTGCTCCTCCTAGGTTGTGGCGAAATCGTTGGTACGATTGCC